TGGCAAGAATAGCAGTTGTCTATATTACAAAGAGATGTACTGATGCACTGTGTCTAAGCTATCAAAGATACTGAATTTACACAGGGTGGCTGTTCTGCCCCAAAACTTGGGCTGTAAATCTTTCCCAGCAAGTCTAAGAAATAAACATGCTGCTTTAAGCTGTGGACAAATTGAAACTAGTTACTTGTCCTTTTAATGAAACAGCTATAGGCAGACCAAAGAGAATGAGATTAAATTAGATGACTGTGTTCATCTGTTGACTTTGGCTCAACTGAAGTGCCACACAAGGACTTTTATGTGTAACCTATGCTAGTTATATGCCAAATTTTACTTAAAAGGGAGAGGGGTCAGGACCCCTGACTCCATCTTGAACAGCCTTATACAGGTCAGTCAAACTTTTCTGCACTATGATTTACCCTTGACGAAAGAGGAAAAGTAATGATTAGGGTCTGTCTTTGTGCATACAGGGAAGACAAGTACATTAAATGCTACAGAATATTTTTAACAATTGCTTTGGTATTCACATAGAATAATGTCTTCAGATAGGAAAAGCTAGATCACCCCACTCTTTCTAGTCCCTCCTTTGGAATAGCATTTCCTGATTTCTAAGTAATGTACCAACATGTATCAAATACTTTTTCTTCTTACCCTGTCAGTTTCTTATGTTAATTTCAGAACTTAATTTAGAAACTGCCTTCAGTTACAATACAGGGAACAACCTGGATGCCATAGCTTCTGGACTGACTAATCTGAAACCTATTAGATCACAGAAATAATCAAAAAAAAATATTAAAAAAAGGGTGTTCTTAGTTGCTCTCTAGCAGAGGGGACATTTCTTCATATAGGCTTTTGTTTGAACACTAGCCCATGCATACAAGTTTTGAGGTGATGTGCCTGTAATTTTTTTTTTTTATTGCATAAACATCCCATCCATTTCAACAAATTAATTTCTCTTTGCTTGATTGTGCACAGTTGCACAGATCTCAATGTAGTTCATGTTTACTTGGTGCAGGGCAATGGTGCAGTCACACAGAGCTCCTGGTAGCTTTTTGCTCACAATGTGGAATCAGAGAATACTCCAAGGAAAGTAATGGTTGAACTGCTTTTTGCCGTGATGTTTTATAACCAATTAATCTGCTCCCTGGATGGAGTGCAAAACTACTGCTTTGTATACAGTTGTCTCTGGGAGAGGGGAATGAAAACTTGCTGAAAATGATGCTATTTTATGTGCACACTGTATGCTGCACCAACTAAATGCTAAAACAGAAAGGCATACCCACTAATTTTGGAATAGTATAGGAATGTAGAGCCAGGTCCTTCCTTCCAGGATCCCTGTGGACACAAAGCTCTACCTGCACAGGTTCATCTTACTACCTCCTATAAGCCATAAGGATGGGTTCGTTACAGGTAACACAGCTAGCTTAGGTAATAAATAATATACACAGGAGGCAATATGATAGGAAGCAATATCCAGCTGGTTAAAATGGAACTGTGTCTGTACTCTATTTTTAAGGACACTTTCCAATGGAGAAAATCATATCTTGGCATCACTGTGTTTCCTGAGGTACCTGGGTATGTTGTTAGTTGATAATGCAAAGCTGCAACAAATAATAGCAATATACCAGATTGTGTTTCACCTCCTGTAGAGGAGTGGTGCTTGCAAGTCTGTAAAAGTTAGCAGAGAGATTAGATGCTTTCAATAATTAAGAAGTTATATAAGACTCCTCCCCAAATCCATTTAACATTCCTGTAAATCTATCCTGTAGCACGCCCAACGATCCAAGCCAGTCTTCTGAAGTGGTGGGCTGCATTCCGAATCTTTGGCAGAAAGGCAAAGACTGAGATAGCTCAAAACAATCGAGACTCAAAGCAGTATGCAAAAACATTGAAAAACAATGTTCCTCAAAGCCTAGATTCTGCTGGTGAATGTCTATGGAGCAGTCTGATGTACAGCGCTGTCTGATGTGCTGGCAGACTACTATTCTTAGAGTATATAGCTCTCTATTAAGCAGTTACTTGATTATAGGCTTGATTACATTCTTCACTTCTGCCAGGTAAGAATGCTTCTGAAAATAGCAGAGTTGCACTAAATGAAACTGGGCTGCGTGAAAGGCAATCAAAACCTGCGTGGAGGAAGTCCAAGCCAATTGCCTTTACTGGCACCACTAAGCCTTAGATAAAAGACAGCTCTTTTGGGGTAGGCTATGTGAAAAAGTTTGATTCTCATGACAGCAGGTCAAGGCCAAAAATTTATGTACCTTCTCATTCTCTTGAGGGAGACATTATAATATTCCCTTTCTCTTGCTCTTTCCCACTTGTCTGTTACAGGATTTTCAAGGAAGCAGCTCCTTCTAGCCTTGAGCACAACACGGCCTTGTCTTTGCTTGGAATACATAGGTACTAGCCAGGCACAAACAATAACATATAGACCATACAGAGATCCACAGAACTGTATTCTCTAAGAAAAGCCAGTAAGTTCTCATGGCATGTATTGCACACACACTTTAGTCCATACACTGGCATGGATGCCTGAAAGCAAAATTGCAACCAAGGAAAGTGAAGAAAAGCCATGTAATATGGGGCATATTCTTGAACTGTTATAAAGTCTTAATACAGTTCTGTTTATCCAATTACACTGAGCTACCTCTGCTATGCATTTGATCCTATAACCAAGCAGTTTTCCAATAAATAATCTGGAGGTCCTTAGGAAAAAATACTAATTATTCCAGTCTGAAAGTCAGTATCTTTATTTTACTCCGTTTCTCTCTTGAGAGACTTAGATCCACAAGATTTTTTTTGTTAATTGAGGTAGAAGTGATGAAAGCAAAATGCCTGTTTGTTGGACAGATCTGTTCATCCACTTTGTTGCTGATCGAAAATACTAGCTGTGTATGTCTGCTTTTCAGAGGTTCCAGAAAAATGTGGCTCTGTCTCTGTCCCTGTGGATGCTTCTGTGTTTCCTCTCCCCGTTGATAAGCTGATGCCTGACTCATACAATTATCTGATTAGAAGACCTGTCTGCAGTCATGAAGCCTTAGTCTGCAATCCTGTCAGCTTTCACGAGCTAAGAAAGGCCAGTCTGGGTGAAGGCACAGATGGAAACAAAGGGGTAGTCCAACAATCATAAGTGGAAGACATTGGCTTTTACCTCCATCCACTCCTTTTCTCTGGTCCTCTCTGATGTTGAGCTACTGTTCTAGGAGTTATCTGCAGCTTCAGATGAGCTGCTGTGCAGTTTATTACCTTTATGACCCAAAACCTTCTGTCATAGAACTTAATATCTGGAGCCAGCTACAATAAGGAACTAGCGTGAGGATGGAGGAAAACTGGTGACAGAGATTTACTGCAGTAAGTGGGGCCAGTGCCAATTAAAACTTGGTTTCTCTCGCTAGAGTTATTGTTGTCCCATAGCACAAGGAACAGAGGTGCATAGAAGGCCTGCACTTCTCCTAGCACTGTCCAGCAATAGAGGATATCTTGAATGAATAATAAAAGGGCCTACAATTCAGTATGCGTTGAATCCACAGCTGAATGGCAAGAGAAGAAGTGGGCATCTACCCAATTCATATCAAAAAGGAATACAACTTGCCTTTTTAGTTGAAAGCACAGAGGGAGTTTTTATTTGCTCCCAAAGGGAGCCATTCATGCAGATGGGGGGGGGGGGGGGGGGCATGTTTTGAATCATTTAATCATATGATACTGTCATTCATGTGAGGAGCAATAGCTCTTCATCTCAAAACTTCCCTCCCTGTGACCCAGGGGAAATGGTAAAAAGGTGACAATGTCCTCTGAAATGCCTTTCATTTCTACAGATGCCAAGTGAAAACTGCAAAAGGATAACCTGATTTCCTGACCTTTTCTCTTAGGCTTCTCAGGAGCACTCTTACCCTTCAGGACTTCTGTATATGCTTTTCACTAGTTCAAGAACACTTCTGCTAGAGCTGGAGAAACTATGATTTTTTTTCACCCACAACCTATTCCTAAGCCTTAGTGATGCCATCACAAACATCACAAAATTTTGGGGTTGCATTTCTTTTTTAATGCACCTCCTATATCTGATTTACATATTACAAAAAAAACCCAAAAAAACCCAAAAAAAAACCACCACCAAACCCACCTCAATTGAATGAGAAGTTTGAATATTTCTTGTCTTTCAAAAATGCAAATTGAACAGTTTTCCCTCTCTCATATTTTTGAGAAATTAGTAGTTCCCAGTGAAACTGCTTGACTGGCACTAGATTACACCAGGATCAACAACCCTCTGGAAAATCTTTTGTCTTCCATGGCCTGACCAGACTAAGTGGAATTTAACTCCTGCTAAATTTATCCCTGGCAACAGTAACTAAACTAAACCTACCACTGACAAATCTGTATTTGAAAGAACTCAAACTTTTGTAGCTAATGCAACAGATGAAGTTATGTTATCTAGAAACAAGGGACATAACTGATGACCTTTCTCTTCAAGTTGGTCTGTGGAAATGCTGAAGTATATAGGTAAGAGCTGTCCTTCAACTCCATTCACAAGCACTGAGGACTTGCAGAAGTTACGCAGCCTGTCCTCAGCACACAATTTCTTTGCATTCAGCTTCAGGAGGAATATGTATATGCAATGCAGAAAGGTATTTGGTTGCCTGAGCCATAACTAGCACTGTTTGCGTACCAAGAACATCACCCTCTTACTATGAAGTATTATGCTTCAGAATTACTGTACTCCCTGAATGGAGCGCGAAAAAAGACCAAAAGCCTCAAAGTCCATAGTGTGCCACTAAGGTCTGGAGTGGGGAATGCAAGTATAATGTCTCTGAACACAATGCTAAATGCTTTGGGATATGTTCTTTAAGTTGAAGTAACTGTTTCTGTTACTGGGTTGTGGGTTTGCTTTTTTTTTTATTTTTTTAATAATGTGGATTACTCTCCATGGTGAAGATGAAGGGGAACACTACAATCCGCAATACCTTTTCTATAAACCACCTCAAGAATAATCAGAAAATGCTCTGTTGTGCTAGTAAGTTTTATTGTTTGTTATGTTGATACAATTAGTTAGTCAGCATTCTACTGGATAAAACTCTACAGAGAGAAAATGAGGCTGGCACTGTAAAGTTCCTTCATCATAAAACTTGAGATTAAACAACTGAGTTTTTGGAAATATTCAGTCTGTACACTTCCGAGAAGAGCATTCACACTGAGAGGCAGAAGGGATATAATGCTGCACCATCGTCCCGTTGGCACACCAGAGAGGAATTGTGACGATGGTTGTTCGGGTGGCTGTACAGCAGCTGCACAGGTCTTCCCATTTCCCTGTCTGAACAGAGTATCTGGTATTGCTTCTGCACTTGCCCTAAGTGGAAAAAAGAGATATCAAGATTGTACAGTGCCAGACCTCAGTACAATTAGAATCCAGGTTCTTCCCTTCAAAACTTTCATGGATGACTTCACCCGGAGTTCAGTGCTCTGCTGTAAACCATGAACTCAGAAACAGACATTGATTCCAGAATATGGGGTGCTGGTCAAAGAGTAATGTCTCATGAGCATAATCATAGCAAAGGAGAGGTGAAGCAACTGGTCACACAAAAAAAAAGCCCTCAATTTAAAATATCATCATTGATGCTGAGGGCTATTGCATTGGCTTCTAAGCACATATGGTTATCATCTCAGCTGTATGAGATCATGCATTCAGAAAGTACTTTAGCCCAAATGTTGCAAGCCACACATCTGTTGTTGTCCTGCTGGTTGCTACTTTTCCTTGTTCTACTTCTCTCTTCACTTTACTAATTTAGACCAAGCTGTCAATGCCTGTAGCTATATGCTTTCACAATGCAAAAACAAATGGCCCCACATCAAACTCTGTCAGAGTCCATTTCTTTTTGTGGCTCTGCACTCTTATTTCTGAGATTAATAAAAAAAAAAAAAAACCTGCATAGAATTATCAGGGAGGACTTTAGAAAAACTGTACTCAATACCAGCTGTAGCAGAAGTATTTAGTTTACTTAATATATGGCCAGATTCACAAAATAAAATCTGTACTTTTGCAGGGGAAAATTCCATATGTATGACACCATGGCTAAAGACATTATTACCATTGACTTTGTGGACAGGACTAGAGGTGAAGAATTCTTTTTTTTTTCTAAATGAAAGGTAAGGGGTTTTGTTGCTGTTCTTAAAGCTTCCACCCTTATTAAGATTTTGTAGCAAATGAAGGCCCTTTGCCAGGTAGCTATCTGAAAAGCCTGGGCATGAGGTGCTGGAGCACATCCAGAGCAGGGCTATGAAGCTGGTGAAGGGCCTGGAGAACAGGCCTTACAAGGAGCTGCTGAGTAAACTGGGGTTGTATGGTCTAGAGAAGAGAAGGCTGAGGGGAGACCTTATCACTCTCTACAACTACCTGAAAGGAGGTTGCAGTGAGGTGGGTGTCGGTCTCTTCTCCCAGGCAACAAGTCACAGGACAAGAGGAAACGGCCCCAGGTTGTGCCAGGGGAGGTTTAGATTGGACATTAGGAAAAATTTCTTTACCCAAAGGGTTGTCAAACACTGGAATAGGCTGCCCAGGGAAGTGGTGGAGTCACCATTCCTGGAGGCATTCAAAAAATATGTTGATGTAGTGCTTGTAGATATGGTTTAGTGGGCATGGTGGTTGGACTTGATGATCTCAGAGGTCTATTCCAACCTAATGATTCTGTGATTCTGTGTATGCTCTTAATACTACTCCTCCCCATTCCCATTCTTTTCCCAGTAGCCATAGGAAAGATGAAGACTCATTTTGCCTACTGCCTTAATTAAAGGGAACACACAAGGGGCTGGGTGCAAGCCATCTTCTTGACTGCCATCTTTGTATGCCATGGTTTGGATTGTGTATAAGGGTTGTATACAATCCTTGTATGAAACATGGCAATCTCAGATTAAGCAGTTGTCCTGCTACAAGCCAGTCTGGGAAAAGAATGTCGTCTTTAGTTCCCAGTCTCAGAGAGATGGGAACATATTCCTGTTTCAGATGAAACTTGCTCTATAAGGTGTAAGCAGTGACGGGCAGGAAATAAAACTTCTAATCTGATTATGGAAGAAATGCACAAGACATGCAGAACATAACATCTTAGTATGCACACTAATGGAAGAGTCATAGAGCTTACAGAGCACAGAAGTCAAATCTTAGTGCTCAAGTTTAAATGTCCTTTAAAGTACCATGCATCTAAATACCCACTTACACTCTCATAAATCAATTTCAGAGCCTGAAGAGGCATATTTGTGCTTAACTGTAAACTCAGATCTGAAAATCAGCTTCACTAACACTAAGATGAACATTCTTTTATGTAGAAAGTCCTAACAAAACCACTTTAGAGTCATTAACTTCTGATGGAAGCTAAGGAGAGTGGTACAAACAAAGTCTTTGTGTCTAACATATGTGCCTTTTTTCATGCTAGATTGAATAGGGAAAATTCAGCATCACCAAATTACTTTAGGAAACAAGTGTCAATGAGGTTTACACTGTTTGAGTGCATCAATGAGAAGGACAGAAACTGATGCTGAAGAGAAAGACAGAAACTGAAGAGAAGCCATAGTGGAGGCCAAGGTTTCCCTTGCAGAAGAGAGAAAGGGGACAAGGGCAAGTCCTGGGGCAGGGGGTTGCTTTTGTTATTTACCTCACAATGAGAAATAGGCACTTCCTTTTCAGCCACACATCCGTTGGTATTCCTATACTGAAGTCTGGTGCTTACTGGTCGACATTCCACTTCCACACCTACCAAGTTAAAAAAAAAAAAAAAAAAAAAAAGAAAGAAAGAAAAAGTGTTTGATAGTGCTGAAAATTACTTTTTTAACACCTGGGCCCTTATTACTGAAATTGCCATTAGTGAGATGTCTTTACTGGTAAGAACCCTAGCAAAAGATTTAAGTGTGTCTCCTTAGAGTAAGTAATGTAGAGCTGTGTGACTATATCACACTACAGCCTTAAAATTCCACCGGAGAGCAGGGTTTCCCTGTTTCTTTTCAATTGACTGCTTTGTATTAAAGTCACCTTGCCACCTAACATTTGTCTTTTACTTGTTGGCTTCTGTGTTAGGAAACTCTCCTTTTAAAGATAGTTCAATGGTACATTGGGTGAGCCGGTGCACAAGAAAAAGATGACACACTTCGGAACTTCAACAACCTAATCAGAAATCAGAGAAACTGAGCACCCTGACCAGGCTATCAATGGGGCTGTCACAGGATAGAGGTCCTATTGTCTTGGGATAATGCCCTTCAAGATGAGTCAGGGGGAGCAACTCTCCAGATCACCTTACAGGTGGGTGGGTCACTGCCTTCAGGACTAGATGATATTTCGAGGTCCCTTCCAACCCCTAACATTCTGTGATTCTGTATGACTGTGTGGGACTCCTTATTCGATGCTAGGGAAGAACATTTTGGGATTCTACAAGATTTATTTATCATGGGATTTTTACAGGAGGACCCAAAGGTGGGGGAAGAGAGGGATTAAGGTGGTTTGGTGAGGAACAAGCATGGGCAAATGGATGGATAAAGGGATAAAGGAGGCTGGTTGCATGTTAAACAGATGCCAGTCCGTACTTTCGTCTGACCTTGTCCTAGGTTTGATCACTGCAGTCTGTCCTGTCTTCTTATTAAACTTCACTTCTAACTACTTGTCCTGAGTGATGGACTCTTCGTTGTGTGTTGATGTGTGTGTATGGAGGGATAAGTGCCAGGAACTGGAATTAGACTATGGGTCAGAGGGCCCATGAGTCTAGGTTAGCAGGGATGCAGGACCAGTTACTGGACAGAGTACGTAAGACCACTAAAGACCTTCATCCTGATCAGCCAGAGGGGAGACCAGGATGAGAATGTGTGTGCTATTTGTGTTTGCCAGAGTACTGAGTGTTTCTCTGTGTACTAAAGAATGTGTGTGTGCCTACTGGGATATGTGCTAGGCCTCACTGTTGCCTGGACCTGGAGAAGCCTCGCCTCTATTGGCTAGATTTGACAACCCCTAACAGTCCTTGCATGTGTGGTGGATTTTGGAGAAAACTAATGTGACAAAAAGAAAAACTATGAAAAAAAAAGTTAGAAAACCAATTCCATGAAAATCTAACTTCAGGTCAATGGGAACTTTTCCACTGTCTTCAGTAAGTCATGAAATACTCTGATACTTGTTTTCCAATACTTTCTGCTCTTAATGTTAGGTAAATTATCCCTGGTTTTTTCTGTCTAATGAGAAATCCACACAAAAGGCAGTAGGTCTGGATTTCTTATGTACGGAGGGTGCAAGCTCAGGGAATCTGCTGAAGTGAAGTGCAGTTGGTTTGCTATGATCTGTTAACTGTGGTAGTTGATGGTGACTCTTCTCCACTTTTGAAGGGAATCTCACCACTGACATGCTCAAAAACAGACTAATCCAGAATATTTTGTTCTGAACAGTCCTGTCTGTTTAGGTCCACATCTAAAGACTTGTGAAGGAGCTAATGATTTTTTAAGTGGGTATTTTATGCACTACAAGTAGCAGTTCTTTGTAGTGTTAATATAGTGCTATGCCTCTGTGTAAAGACAGGCTCCTACTTTCATTAAAATTTCTAGCTAACCAGTGGAGCTTCTGTATTTACCAGAATACTGGACTATTTTGCCTGTACTAGACAACAACGTTTCAGAGGAATTCAGCAGGCCAACAGCACAACTTAGTAGATACATAAATTAAAGAGAAATGTATCCATCTTCCTATCAGCAAACATAGCTTTCAATACCTTTTCCATGGGAATGTTAGTACCAAATCAGCTTGGTGCCTTGCTAAGGCTTTACATGTCATTTAAAAAAAAAAAAAAAAAAAAAAAAAAGCCATACTTATTTAGCTTGAAAAGCTTTTCTGGCTCCAGGGCTGGAACTGCCAGTTATCTTTCAATAGTTTCATCACTTCATTTGATAAAACTTGTCCATCTGCAAGGAACACACAATTGTGTCTGCACAACCGAAAAGCCCAAACAAAATAATTATAATCAATCAGATGCAGCACAGCTTCATCACCTTTTCAATTCTGACTTACCGACTTGTGCTTGAGTTAGTTTACTACTTTCATTTACTTTTTTTGTAGATTGTGACTCCTTTGCAAAGGCAAGTGCTTGTAACTTAACAAGACATATGCAATTGAGATCAACAGGAAAAAGAGGTAAGAAGCAGAGATGCAACTTCTTTGTTAAGTGGGAAAAATAAGGAATATCCTTTGCAAATAATCAAGTCCTTTGCTAGTACCACAAAAATCTAATGAGAAAATAAGCCTGCTCACTTATACGCTCCTATGTACTTAAAACCTGGTACAATGACCTCAGACACACTAATGAACTCCAATTGCCAAGGCATAACATAGAAAGGGAAGCTGGCTCCTTAAACAACCTTTGCTCAAAGCCATATAGGACTGTAGTGAACCAAAGGCATCACACTCTTTTGCTTTGAACTTGAGAGAACAAGTTATTTGCCCAATTTTTTATGGTACTGAGGTGTCTGAAAGATAAACTCTCTCAAGACGTGGGAAGGCAATGTAACCTCTATCTAAGTCTTTGTATCCACAAGAAACTGATTATTCTTTTATCTGACTTCCAAGGATAATTGAATTACTCTGGTTTTATAGTAGGTTTACCAAGCCTTAGTGTTCCCTGTAGAGTATGTAACAGACTGCATGTTGGTACTGAGTGCCCTGGTGGAAAGATATAAATACAGAGAAGAGAGAGAGTTTGGCATCTAGAAGTATCTGTTTGATTTAAAGCTGTGTGTTAATCACGGTCCTTCAACTGATAACCCACGGTTAGTTGGCTGGATGCAGTATGTTGGCTTTTCCCGTATGAAGGGCCCTGAACAGAAAGGCAACCAGGAATAGGACTGCATTGTAACAGGATTTTTCAGTTTTGAGCTATGTCCAAGCAAACATCAATGGGAATAATGATTTGAAGGCCCATACAATATGGGTGGTTTTAGGCCTGTAATGTTTCACTTAGATCAGTTTTCCTTTGCTACTGCAAGGACGTAGCGCTTTTAAATCACTATAACTGCTAAATAAATACACGTATTGAGCCGTGCTCATTTCTCCTCTCCTCAATTGCAGTGATAGGCATTCTCAACTAGTAAAGCCTGCCCACCACCCTGTCTTTTGAATCTTAAAATCCATTTTTGTTAATAAATAATTTTCAGTATTCCTTACTTGAAGCCTGTTAGACTAACGCTCTCTTAACTAAATTACCTGTTTGAGCCATTTGATGACAGTCTATCTCAATAGCTTTCTGACTCTATTTCTCAAGCCAGAACTCAGTGATTATAGAGACAGGCAATGGTTGCAAACTCCTCTAGGAGTTAACATCCTTCATCAGGGGTATTATTACAGCAGTTACTGTGTCAGTGTGATGATGGGCTGCTATGCTGGCCATCTTTTATTTATTAGCAAATGCATAGAGGGGGAAAAAAAAAAAAAAAAAGAGATAAAGGCAAGATGTTGATATTCTCACCTTAAAAGAGAATCTTTCATTACTTTTTTTCTTTATTTTAAATGAGCTACAGCATTATTAATTTTTTACCCACGAAGGAGAAAACTGAGAGGTTGTCTATTCACAAAAGCATCAGAGATTCATTTTAGAAATAAGAACCCAACCCTGCAATCCTTCCTCGTGTAAGCAAACCCTTCCTATGCTCACAGCCTGACTGACATTTGGATTATCTACACAATGATGCATGAAATTAAGAGTTGCAGGACTGACTCCTAAACTGCTGAATTTAAGATGCAGTCAGGCTGTCCATTAGGAATGCACCTTTGACAAGCATTTCCCCTACCATTTTTTGGTTATTATGTTATTAAAAAATAATCAAAATTACATTACTGCCACCAGGGGTGCTTTTTTTGCTAAATTCATTTTAAGTTGATTGATTATTCATTAAGTGGTTGCCTCACATATGCAGTATCAGGTTATCTGACTTGTCAACCTGTGTGTGCAATATCGTTCCTGTTATCTTTAGATGAACAGTAAAATAAAACATTCATAATTAACATCTGCATAAAATGTGGAGAGTATTTATTTCTTTCTAAGCACTTGTGAATACTGTCAAAACACATGTTCTAGTGAACAAAACATGACAGCATTACCCCAGTCAGAGGGCAGACTTGTTCAATGTTTTATTGTAACCGCATTGCTTAGCTCTGTTTCATTAAACTGCATCTTATGCAAAATGTAGCACCTTACTCAGTAGCTTACACCCTCTGCAATTTCCATACAAGACTTCTGGCTTATTTACTTACATGTGTCACAGCAGGTATTGCCAATTTTTGCAATTCTGCCCTAAAACAATAAAAAAAGAAAAATTCTATTTTGGCAGAAGTAATAAACACTTGTCCTGCTGGAAGAATACAAAGTGATGTTTAAAGCAGGGTATTAGGCAAGAAAATTGTAGTTCTATATTGTATAAAAATATAAATCTACATTAGTAGTCATCTCTCCATTTTAAGGTTTTGAACTTGTGATTGTATTTGTTGATAGCTGATTGGAAATAACTGACTATATCAGCAAGTACAAAACCTGAAAATATTGCTTTCACCTTATATTAGGAGCTTTCTAAAGTAAAGACATTGAATAAAAAACAAATTCTGGGAGCCAGAGTGATAGAACCAATAGCATTCAAGTCTCATGTCTGTTTAAGAAAGCAAATTAAACAGTCCCTCTTGATTTTTTTAGCAATATAGATGAAAGCATGCCTATTCCACAACAGCTGAAAATGTACAAGCAAATCATCATAAAATATCACATCTGTCAAATAAGTTTTAACAGCCAAAGTTTTTATTTTTTTTGCTTCAATACTACTATGTAGAAAATAATTTTCAGAAATATATGTATAGTGTAAAATTACTGAAAACTCATAGTGAAAGGAAAAATGGAGAAATATTTACACTGCAGGGTGAGGCCATTGTTGCACTAAACATCTGAACTTAAATGCAAAAGTTTAGAGGCTTTTTTAATTAAAAAACCCTAAACTTCCCATCTGTAGCTAGATGAAAACCACCAATTTTATAGCTGAAATAGTTCATTTTTTTTTGAATGGGAGGAGAATAAATGCAGTTTGGGAAGTTCTGGTTAAAAAATAAACTATTCTTCATTTATTTTCAATGAGGACCTTTAGAATACGCTAATAACCCCAAGCCTGTAACACTATCCAGCATTTTTCTAAATCTTTATATAACACAACTGTGTGGGCTACAGTGATTTCACAAAGTGAGAAATGAACTGTAGAAGCTTTATTCTTCCTCCATTATACACATCAAATCCTCCATTTGCTTGACGTGTATGTAGAGAGAGGTTTGGGCATAAGCTTTGTTAACCTTTTCCTGCTTCCTGTCATGCCCGAGAAAACGGGGACAGATGAATATAACCACATGTGTGATGCTAGCTGAGCAAAAGCAGGACCCCATGTAGTACACTCCAGCCTGCACTCTGGTCCTTAGTGTATGGCTAACCGCAAATCACAGGAAAGATGGGTGGACATGTTGAGTGGGGTTTTTATTATTACGCCATTATGCCAAACAACTGCAAAAGTGGAAGTTTGAGCGCTTCCTACAGCATTGCAAAAATTCCTTTCCCTAACCTCATATGATAGTAGAGAAAAAACGTCTTGAATTTCATATGCATATTCATAGAAAAAAAGGGGCTGATCTGACTATTTTCTCAGTTAGCATAACTACCCACACAGTTATGCTCTGGATACCAAAGCAAAAACATTGTTAGAACAACTATTTTCTCATGTTTGCTACTTCACATGGAACAGAATTACTGCAAGCTCAGCATCTCCTCTGCAGTATAATCCCATGTAAAACCAGTATATATTTTAAAATACAGAAAACTTACATTTTTCCAAATTTCAAAGAAAGTTCAAATTCAGTTTAGCCAAAGTGCTGGGAGAGGGTTGGGTTTTCGCACCCTAATACATATAAGGTACCTATATTCAAAACCATAACCATGACAGAGTCTACTAGGAAACCTGGAAACAGGACCCATGTCATTACTTACTCCTTCAGCCAAACATCTTCTGGAATCAAACGGAGGACAGCCAGTGATTCTCCTTTCCCAGATGAATTCCCCTTTCTCACTTACTTTACAGGAGTGACTATCACAGCCATCCTGAAGTGATTCGTTTGGCTGTAAAGATTTAAGGGCTGTTATCTTTACACAGAAACAACATGTAAGTTTTCAGGATACTATACAACCCTACTATTCCATTACTGATATTTTAATTAATGTACCATGGTGTTAAAGTTTATAAAACATGGGAATCTTTAGTAAACAGAATCATTTATAAACAAAGTCATTACCCTCTATTTACTTCCATAGCCATATCGATTACAGTTCAGTCAAGACTGCCAAAACCTGACCTTTTTCAGCTCTTAACAGGGAAGAAATTTCCATTGATTTAAGAGAGAAACTTGTCTAAGTGAGAAACTTGGGAGTTTGGCCTATGAATTTTCTTTTAAAGAGACATATACGTGTATATTTAACTTCTGGCTGAGTTGGGAGCTTTTTTTAAAAAAATACATAAAACCACACCCCCACATAGAATCATTGAATCATTTAGGTTGGAAAACATCACTGAGTCCAACTGTAAGCCTAACACTGCCAAGTCCACCTCTGAACCATGTCCCTAAGCACCACAACTACACATCTCCTAAATACCTCCAGGGACGGTGACTCAATCTCTTCCCCGGGCAGCCTGTTCCAGTGCTTGACAACCCTTTCACTGAAGTAATTCTTCCTAATGTCCAATCTAAACCTCCCCTGGCACAAATTGAGGCCATTTCCTCTTGCCCTATCACTTGTTACTTGGGAAAATAGACCAACACCCACCTCACTACAACCTCCTTTCAGGTAGCTGTAGAGAACAACAAGGTCTCCCCTCAGCCTCCTTTCCTCCAAAATAAACAACCCCAGTTCCCTCAGCTGCTCCTCATAAGACTTGTTCTCTAGACCCTTCAACAGTTTTCGTTGCTCTTCCCATACTCCCTCCGCCTAAAACTTAGCTCATGAATGGAACAAAAGAAAATGTTATATGCCATTTCTTGTGACAAGCTGATGCGTTTTAAACCAGAAAAATATCCACTCCTGATTAAGAACCTATCATGCTGGAGAAATTTTTCAAAATTCACAGTTTCAACTTAAATTATCCATTTCCCATTTAAAACGAGGATTTCATTTCCTCTAAGTAGTTGTTGGAGCTCATATTCCAGTCAAAGTTCATTGATAATATTCATGTTTCCAGGTGCATCTAGAACGTCCCTCTAGAAATCTGCACTGTGATATGAAGTCTCCTTTTTTCCATTTACAAACAACAACCAAAAATCACCTTTCTCTAGAAACCGTTCTGAGATATAAAAGAAAAGGCACTAGTAATACCATGCTGCCTAACCAAAAACGAGGGGGAAAAACAATGCACTTTCCTTGGGTTCACCAGAAGTCTGTGCTGCATTTACTCATAAATAAAAGAAAGAGTGGTTAAAATTTACCTGAAGGTATTTAAGCCTTCCGTCTCTCAGCCTGATGCTACATGAAGTTGGCACACATTTTCCACAGCAAGAACCAGGGATTTCCTGCCTCCTGTAATTCTAGAAGATGAAGGACATTTTTCTGGGTATGTTTTATTTTAAGTATGCTTCCTACACTTATTTCTAGAAGCTTTTTTTATTAAAAAAAAAAAAATCAGTGGACAAAGCGATAGCAGCAAAATGCTTTTTTTAAACAGTAGGACTAGACCAGCTTAATCTAATTAGTTGCATGCTTTTGTATTTTGTTTTATAAAGGCTGGCATTAATCCTTGTACCGATTATCATACAACAACGAGAGTTTATTTCCAAGTACAAAGCCTCCTGCATTCACTAAATTCAATATTCTTTGACTATAACAGTTGCAAGGTCAGGTCCAACAAACAACGTATGACAGTAGGACAGGGTAAGAAACTTATTAAGAACTTTTGAGTGGCATACAGCATTTGCGGTCTGCAGGAGTTTCTCTGTAAAGCTAATGAATGCTACACAGTGCAACTTGGAAAAGTAGTCTGGCTTAAACTAGGAGAAAAGGGCAAGATAACCAGTAAGCAGTGGGTAGGAAAAGGGGAGAATAAGGCTAAGGTGGAAAATTTGGACTATGGAAAGAAAAAGAAAATGGCCCGATAAAACAAGAAAGCAAAAAGAGCATCAGAGAGGGTATGTTAAAATAAACCAAAAAAGGAGAGAAAAAAAGAAAAGAAGAATAATGGAGCCCCACAACTGGCACAGGAAGGAAAAAACAGTGGCAGGGAAAGGAGCATGGGAGAATGAGCAGAACTAGATGGAGAGGAAGAAAGGTATAGCGAGGATAATGGAAACAGAAAAAGAAAAAAAAAAAAAAAAAACAGAAAGGAAAGGAATTAACACATGAAGTGTCCCACAGTAATGTCTCCAGCTGCTACACATAGCCAACAGCTGCTTATGATGAGCTGAACATTTTTAAGACAACAAACACTTTCTGGTTGAGTGAAGGCATGCATGTTATCCATATGTTTTTTATAGAAAAAGAATTTGGGGAGGGTGGGGGGTACTATTAAATAATTGGCAGAAAACATAGTTTTCTTTTGCTCTACAGCAAAAATTTAAGCACCTAAATTACACCATAAAATGACCAAAAAAAAGTGACCCTGATGAGCAGAATATGCTGCAGTTGGCTGCACTTCAGTTACCAGTGCACTTACTTTCACAGCTTCAGCATCCAGTAGAAAGCAGGTGCTCCTGAGAGAGTGTATACTCTTAACCCATTATTTTATCCATGATGAAGGAATTACTTTTAATCTGGGTATACCATGAAATCAATGACTCTGAGACAGGAAAGATCCCAAGTATGTGTGTGAATCCCACTGGCCTTGAAGGGATGAAGACGTTTTGTATCTTACCTGATTTTTTTTTTTTCCCTTCAAGCTCCACAGATTCATTACAATGGCTACAAAGGGATACATACACCTAGACCTGCAACCTGCCTTGGGTAGCTGCACATCTCCTAAACACAAGTTCATAATGCTTAATAAGCCCAACTGGAAATTGCCGTTTCTTCAGGGTTTTTTGTTTAGTCTGTACTTTTGGGTCAGGTAGGGGAAAGGAGCTGTTTGGGAATTGTGTAGGTGGTGAAAGAAGCAGGAGAGGAATGTTTCCCCATTTTTTCACCATGTATTTTATTGATTCCTCCCTCTACCTTTAATTTCTACAGCTGGCTTCTTGCAGTGAAAAGCAAGAATTGATGTTTGTGTATTTTTGTGTGGGAACATATATATGCACACATGTTTCTGGCCACAGATACATTCTAGTGTACCTGGGTTTTTTCATTGATCTGCCAGGTTATATTTTATGGAAGATGCTCAGCACTGAGCTTGACCATTTATTTTCCTTTCAGAAACCTGTGTCTATAATCGTAACTTACAGGAGCAGTGATATTAGGGTCTAGAACCACACAAAGTATTCCAGATTCTCCCTTTTGTCAGAGACTACATTCATACCAGCAAATAAAGGGGGTCAAGGCCGGTTTTCTGGCCCTGAAGACAGTGGAATATGTGTGTTATGTCTGAATTGCATTCTCCCCACAAACCAGGCTGGCCTTGAGTTGTCCTAACCACTGACCTGTGCCTGGGTATTATTTGGAAGTCTGATATTTAGAACAGGCCAGCTGGGACACTGCTGGCAATTCTTCAAGATAAGTGGTTGCAGAACACAATTTGTGCCTGCAGTCTTGCTCTATTTGGTTTATTAGCACAGATGAAATCATAGAAACTTGACTTACTACATTGTCCTTTCCAGTTCTACTTAGGGATTGAAAACTGGAATCATCCAAAACTCTGCCCCCCTCTTTTGCGGGATCCTAACGATGCATGCCTCTCCTAGATATCAGCCAGGAATCCCAGAAGACCATGTTAGAGATGTGACTTTTTGGTGCAACAGCCGCTGCTTGCATAGGCCCTAGGTTTGGTTGGGCCCATTGGGCTCCATCCATCATCCAGGGAAAGGCAGAAGAGGAAGAGGCATTTAAGCCTTTTTCTGTGAAACTTAGCTGCTGGTCTGTGCTCTTCAGAGAGGGGGAGATTAAGCCAGCCTCTGCAACTTGCTTAGATCTCCTTCTACTTGAGGTATTGGTGATAAGAGAGAAAACTACATGGTTGAGCAGAACTAGTCGGGCACTCCAGTCACTCTGTTGGTCAGTGGAGTAAAAATGGGAGCTAGTTGCCTCTGGCTTTCCCAGCCAAGCTCACACCTTGCAGATGATAGCGGCAAAGCAGCAGCAAAAACATCAAAAAGGCCAGTGGAACTGATGGGGAGAAGTACCTCAAATCACCTAAGGCATGGCTGGGAACCAGACAGAAATATTATTGAGCCCAGCTATTAGACAATTTGGAATAGTCATAGAAAAGCCCTGAAGCATGGAGATCTGGCTGAGCTGCAGGTCCCTGGAGGGGCAGATGATACCTAGGAAAGGAGACACAGCAGTTCCTGTTGCAAATTATTTGCCAAACCTTATTTTGTCCTAAAGGTAAGTAGTCTAAAATACACAATAAAATGTGCCTGTGTTCCTGGGTACTATGAAAAGTTACCTTTCCTATGGTGTAGATTTAAATCACATTTGGTATATTTCACCCAATTCAGGGAAAGAAGAACATGGGGCCATGACTTCTCAGAAAAACCTGAAGAAAGGCAACTGGTCCCAGAGTTGTACAGAACATAAACTGGTGTATACAATGATGAACACGACCTTCTTATCATACACATCCTTAACCAGAACATCTACATCACTCGCACTTACTATTGGGCATGGCTCACAGCTTAATTTTGTGCATGTCAGAGTATATCTCCGAGAAGATGTTGACTGGGCAGAGCAGAGACATGTTGTGCATTGATCCACCATCAGGCGTCTCCATGGCTGAAACATTAGAACCAATTTTTTAAGTCAGTAAAACTCAAATAAATGAGCAATTTTACCTAGGTTAAATTGCTTTCATTAAAACTTGCATCGCAATTCTTTGCAAGAGAAAACAGAAAATGTCCCCACTTTCAGAGACCCAAATTTTTGCATCTGTAATTCCACAACAAGCAGCATAGCATGAGGCTATTTTTAAAGCAAGCCCTTTAGAATTCCTGAATCTGTAAAATGGTATTGGCATTTCTTACTTCATTGCTTACAAAGCTAGCAAGCAAGAAAGGAATCTTTGTAAGTGATGAGGAAGATTTTGTCATGAGCTATCCTGACTATGTGTTAGGGAGTTGCCACCAGTTCATTTTTCCTGCGTGTAGTGAATTGGTTTGCCACAAGATTTTATTCTTAAGCCACCGCAACCCATAGATCATTGCCAGAAATTACTTGTTATCGTTCTTCTAATAATACTGCTTAGACTCTCTGGAGGCCTAAAAGCTTAAAACTGAGAAAAGAAAAATAAAAACAACAACAAAAACAGAATTACTGAGTGAAGAACTGGACTTGCCCCTAGTTACAAGTAAATAAGTGGCTGAGCTGGTGCACAGTTCAAATTCCCTGAGTTCTTCCCCAGCGCCTTGTTTGCTGGATCCCATCACCTTTGCAAAGCAAGCAAAAATGACATTTAAAATTTAGAGCAAAAATGCCAAACTATTAAATGGAAAACAAAAGAATGTGGAGTTAGTAACTGGATTCCTAGCACTGGAAGGAGTTTTAAATAAAAAGTCTTTCTCCCTCCCAAGCACACAGTCTTTCATTTCAACACCAAAATAACAGACCACTGTGGTTGAAGGGACAAAATGGGAAGAGGCTATTCAAGACTTTCACAAAGAACTTCTAAAATCTAATAAGGTAAACAGAAACTGAATATTGCTCAATTATAAAAGCTTTGAATTGTTCTTCAAAAGTCAATGGAATGTCACTGTTGACTTTATCTGGAACACGAATTTCTCATGCTACACGCTATGCATATCCTCAAATTCCTTTTTTTATTGTTCCACACTAGTAAACACCCATGGAACAAATGAAGCAAAACTAAGAGGCTGGCCAGAGTAACAGGGTAAAGGTAATGCATTTATGGGTAGTTCAGAGCCAATACTCTGAAGGCTATACGCTGAAGGACAAATGTTCTGATTAAAGAATTTTAATTACATTCTTACTCTGCACTGCAGCACAACAGAGGTCCTCAGGCCTCAGTGGTTTTTTATAAAGCACCAGCAATAGCAATGACTTTTTTCTTGTTTTGTGGAGGTCTAGAGAAAAGATCCTCCACATACAATATGATGAAGGTGGTAATACTAATGGGGATATCCCTGTCTTCTAACAACTCAGCTTGAGACCTTGGCACAGGTCTCTTCAGCTTTCTTGGTTTAAGCTTTTATAGTGAGTACTGGGTCATTAATGTGGAAGGTTAAAAGACCTCAATGGATGCAGGCACGAGGACACTCTCATAACATTTTCCTGTGGGAGAGGGATAGATAACAAATGTCATATGAAACTCCAGACTCCTAGTTTACTCTCAACATTGGAAAGCATTCAGACACCGGAGTGATAGTTCTAGTACAGACTACGTGGTCTCGCAAGGGCATTCAATCCTGACGCTAGTATTGCTGTGCTGGTTAGTAGCTCCACCACACATGCATGTGCATATACACACAAAAGTCCTGCAAATCCGGGAGATGCCCTCATCATGTTGACCTGTTTCAAAATACGTTTCAGTTTGTTCTGTTTATTATCATAATCACACTTAATTCAGGCCCTCTAGAAGTAGATGCTTATCACAGAATGCCTCCCTAGCTCTAGGCTTTCACATCATGAAGAAAAGGTCTATAAAGCTACAGCTAATATTATAACTGATATCCTCATTGGATCTTCTAATAGTTCTAACATTCCAATCAAATACAAAAAAGATAGATAAAGTTGTGTTTATACTAAAATCACTGTTACGGGCAGGAACATAGGGCTTACTAGAGACACGTTGAAACAAAATCCCCACACACAAGTGACTTGAACTTTTGGGGGAAGGTCTTACCTTGATCCAAACTTTGCATCACAGCTTAGTTCTATGATATTATTTAATGTATTTAGGGATCAGCATGCAAATGTTTAAGAATGGCTTTCTGTGAATAAACATAGCTTATCATGACAGAACTGAACGAAATAATGGACCAATACATCTTTTTCCCTTTATATAAAACACCTATCGTGTTTTCCTGGCTAATGTAGAACTAAATGTCAACGTCTGCTAACCCAGTGTTAGTCAGTGCAACCAAAATAACCTGCATTAAGCCCAAATCTACTCAGATCTCCTTCAAAAATGCCACTCACTAAAAGCCTGGGAAAACAGATGAGTGATACAGATAATCCTTTTTGTAAATACAGCCACCTGCTTGGAAGTCTGCAGTTAAAGCCCACAGCATTGTTAAGAACAGCAGAGTGAATGCAATACACCAAATTACTGGAATATAATATTGGTAATCAGATACAAGACAAAAATGCAAAGGGATTAAGGACACAGTCAGTTAACAGAACTGCAGTAAAAGACTCAAAACTTGGAACTATTCAGTGAATGAGTTAATGGAGCAAAGTTTTCCCTTGATATGAAATGAAACTTGAAACCTATTCTTAAAGGACCCAGAATAAAAGTTTTGAAATCCAGGAAGTATAAACTTCTGTGGACACCACATCTTCCTTCCTGACCAGAACTCTGGAACAGTCATTGAAGTAGAGAATAGTGTAAGATAAAGCTGTAGTAATGCCAGCTGCTCAAAAGCTTTCAGACATAGAGCTAATTAGCTTACAATAAGTCATTAAATGAAGCTAGTTTAATTGAAAAGTTCATTAATTTAAGACAAGTTCTAATGTAAGCTCTAATTTAATTTAAAAAAATAATCAAAATGGCTAATTTGTTTAGAAATCTTCCAAGATTATATCTCAACTCAAATTTCACACTCTCCATCCTGAGAAAATATTTTGGTAACTGCATTGCTGAATGCTAACTTCAGTAATGCTTGACATTTGCGACAGCAAGAGCACAGAAGTAGCGTAACAGCTGGGGCCTACCTACACCCTCAAAATCTTGCAAAGGCAATGTTTGATAAAATGATCAATTGTCAGGAAGAACAATAACACATTTTAAAGGCTGTATTAAAAGGAAAAAAAAAAAGAAAAACATTTTAAGACAGCTTTTATGTATAGCTAGTTAGCAAATAAGATTGAGCAAAAATGTAGTTTTGTGTCAGCTGAAACACTCTATGAATTCATTCCAAATTGGGAAAATTTTATTAAGATAGGAATTACTTTCAATATTGTAGAACCAGAAATAATTTATTTTTAAGTCTTCAAATTACAGATACTTCTCATTTTGCCTTCAACATGAAATTTTGTTTCAAAATTTGCTTACGCTTCATTTTAAAGTGTTCCCAAATATTTTAAAAGACTCAAAATAGAACAAAGTCTGTACTTGACAGATCAGGTAAACATGTGTTGGAAGAGAAAAATTCAGTTGTTCATGAAAGAACAGAATGCAGCCAGAAAGACATCTTCTTTTTGCAACACAGAATATATACATATGCATATCCTGTATAACAGAAGGTGACAGAAGCTAGCAATTACTATACTGCATAACATTGTCTACAAGTATGGTCTTTATAAAAAGCCACACCTAGTTTTGACAACATACTATGGAGGAGACAAATAGAGGAATCAAAGAGAAAGCAGATTATTTCAGATTTTACCACTTTAAAACCCTTCTCCCAGTGTTCCGACAAGAAAGGCAGAGTTATTCCTTGGATTCAATTCTACCGGGAAGTAATCCCCAGAATGACGGATGCTTGATGACAGGGCTTTAGCTCTAAGAAACTGATAAACTTATGCCTATCAACTATGAAAAAATCAAAGCCAGAAGAAATCAATGGAGAAAGGTTCTCTCCATCATATTTCAAAAGTCCAAAGAGATTTGGATAAACTTATCTTTTAAATAAATGAAAAAGGAAGACATACTTGACAATGCAGGAACATATAGGTTAAAAGTTAGGTTAAATAACTAAAGAGGACCTGTTTCTCTGGGGGATGATGAGAATATTTAGAGCTCTTTGACACCAGAGGTGCTGCCAGAATATGGATTTAGGGAAACAATGAACAATTGACAGAGCTCTCCAAAGATAAATTCGGCATAAATGAGATCAGATGCTTAACTCTCATCATTCCCACTGTCATGGGTTGGGTTAAACATGTCTTAATCTATCCATTAAATATGAAGTTGAGAAAAAATTTCCTCTGAGGGCATATCAGCAGGGATCTTGAACGGGGACAGAGGTCAAGAGTGAGGAAGCTCAGCTTTCCTGTTCCTGCTAATAGCCAAGGAGGGATACCCCTTCTTCCACACAGGTGGAGCAAGAGTCTCCATCCTTTTTTAATCTGCTTTATCCTCTAGGTAGAATACGGGAAGTTTTTGCTTCCCTGAAGTGGGCAAGGATCATTTTTGAGATTATCCCTTGCAGATAGTTTCCTGTGTGTTTGGTAGCCTGCAAGTCATTACACAATGCAGATTACCACACTTTCTAAGCACTTTTCTCAAGCACCCTTTTAAGATAAGGAAACATTACTGTCCCCATTTTGCAGAGGTATTCATTGTCATATAGGAAGACTGTAGCAGGGTCATGAACTGGACATACAAGTGCTGAGCCCCTTGCCATTGCCTTTTACTCCAAGGTCTCACTTGCAGAGATTCTGTCTGAAAAAAGCTGGCCTGTATGCTTTCATGTATTCTGGCAAGTTTGTGTTCTTCAAAAGCTCATTCATATATCTAAATGTCTTATCATCACAGCAAATAAAAGGAATCATGTCTTACCCCAATAACGGTGCCATTCAAAGGACAACCATTCAGGGGTACTGAAAAGGAAGATAATATTCCATTTAGCATTACCATTATCATGACATTACCAAGATTTAATAAACCACTGCTACACTTTCTTGACTTACTAGAGTTCCAGCTGAGGACATTTAGATCCAATTTCACTGTAAAAAGGCATAATTGAGCCCTCCTACATTATACCTTGAAAGGCAGTAATTTGTCAGAGTTATCCTGAATTCCATCACCAAATATCTCTTGCTGAGCTGTTTTTTTAACAAGTACATGACACAATATAAATTTTCCGCTCCAGTTCAAGCCTCACACTCACAGAAGATGCACTCAGGTTTTATGCAAGTTGTAGTGCACATTTCACCTCCTCCTCCCACTGCCCAGCTCCTCACCCTGTGATTGCATATATACTTGTCAATTAAACGCAACTGGGAGTCTTCCCAGACTGAGGCCAATTAGCCAAATCTTCTGATCTGGACTTTTGACCCATGTCTATGCTAGGAAATGGCCATAGCCACAATGCTCAGAGACACGCAGAAGACAGCATAGCTGCATGTAAACTCCCTGCTCATAGCAGGCACTGGGAGAGCATTGAACCTTCCTAGGCCAAAAGCATCTCAAAACCTCTTTTAAACACTTAACAATTCAGGCTAGAGCTGTAGAAACATAGCCTTGTATGTCTCTCTCAAGCAATGCAAAATAGCTTCAACAGTGAGCAGTTCAAGAGGAGATAGTGAACATCAGTTGTAAAGAGAAAGTAATAGCAGCAGGTGCTATTGTACTCCATGTCTAAATTATACATGAGAGCTTCAAATTAGTACTATACTTGCATAACATGCACTTTTGAAATTGCTGTTGAGAAACAGGAGATCAGCACATGAGATGATTCATTCTCTAGTGATTCCGTTTGTCATACAAAAAACCTTACCACATCTGCAGGAAGGACAGCAGTCTATTATTTGGTCACAACGTAGTTCAGTTCCCTCTGGACAGTCAGGCACATCCATTTGAGAGCAAGAAAGATTCTTTTGCTGCACGAAAACCTCATTGTTCACCTGGACACACTCATTGATAATGCAATGGTTGAATGGGGATCGCCACTCTGTGCCAACCTGATGGGAAATTGTAAAAGGATTAAATACGGGTAGCAGCATTTGTGCCACTGGATAGAGGGAAGACTACCACAGCCAACATGCTGGTTTGCAAAAAGCACATCGCTGCATCAGGACAGTCTGTCACTCAACAGTTCTCCACAAATCCTTACAGCGACAGTTTCTAGAACAGTCTGCTGCTTGGTTTGTAGTGTATAGGAGTTACAGGAGTATCCTTAAGGTGAAAAATAAAGAGGCAGGTGAAATAACATGTGAAGAAGAAAAAGCACTCTTAACTAGATTTAAATCTACATTTGTTACCGGGTAGCTGGCTGCACTGCATTGCACTGTAGCCGAGATGGCCGTCTTTCTGCTGGAACCTGCTGCAAATCAGCTCTACTAAGCCCAGAGTAGGCTTTAGCAATAGGCTCCAGACCTGAAAATACTTGCAAATGTAGGAGACTGGATCCTGTTGACAGTCCTACTGATTATAATCACCCATGGGTCAGACAAAGCACGAACTTCAAGTGCTATTATGGGAAGAGACAGCACCACAGGCCAGAAAGTAGATGCTGTCACATTTCAACACGGGGCGGAGCTGATCGTTGCTTTGAAGCTGTATGCCTCCACTGTTAACACTCTGAATACACTTCAAGAACAGTAAAAGTGAAAATCAGATCCTCAACTCCAGTAAATTCAGACATCTTTCCTCAGAAAGTTAGGGAATACTTCTCTCTCATGTGTTACATAGTACTTTGTTAATGACGGAAGAGTTGGAAGAGGACATAGCAAGAAAGAGACAGCAGAGCATAAGGATCTGTTACACCATTAGGACAGCAGAAAGCAGTAAGACACAGTGGGACATTAAAATAGGCCTTCTGAAGGGATGTTTTATGATGCAGAGAAGAATATTGATCCACATTAAGAAATGCCCTTGGTAAAATCAGGGAAGAGGCAGGCTGCAAAATGATAAATGAACATTTTTTAAAAGCTGCAGCAGACTGCCTTTGTAAAAGAAATCATTAAAAAGTTAATATTAAATATATGAATGTGAGATGTAGATGAAAACACAGACACATTGTAAAGAACAACACTTAGGGAAGAAAATATAGGTAGGTTTATTATTTTAAACATATTTAACTTACTGTTCCTGCCTTCGTTGAACCCAAAGTCTGCATAGGATTATGCAATTTAATGCTACTGGGGCAGGCTTGCCAAGGGTGCTTGGATTAGGGACAGAACAAACTGAATAGCCTGAAGGAATTAAAAATGCAGGCAAGAAAAGAAACAAATATACACATAGATTTCCAAAGTGGTAGGGTAGCTGCAGCCCATTTTAAATGGCTGTCGCATGCGCTCACTTCCTGTTGGGGTCTTTGAATCATAAGGGAAGAGGCACACTGCTGAAATTAAACTGTTATTCTGAGCAGAAAACAAGCATGGCCTGGACCACTGCGGTCTGATCTGACATGCAGCAATCATCTTCAGCAACCAGAGAGTAATTCATGTTTCTATCCTCATTTACTTCCTCATATTTCAGTGTGTACCAAATAGGACATCCTATTTGAATAGGACTGAAATTCAAGCAATCCACTACCCCATCTGCCTGCTATCCATAGAGTAATGCAGATTATTATGGGATAATTTAAACAAATAGCCTACACACTGAGAAGCATTCTTTTGACCTACCACTTGTGAAATTACTAATTTTACACAAAACTATTGTTTCCTTAGAGCCTGAAAAGGGTGGGGAGGGTTTGCTTGTTAGAACCAAATTAGTAAGTCACATGCCCCAGAAAACATTGTTTTTCAGTGCTGCTTGATGTATAGCAGAAATAGCTCATATCTTCTTCACCTCCTTCCGTGGAGCACAAAATAATTCCAGGACACTTCTGCTAGAAGAGGAAGTGTCCTCGCCACTGCCACCTCACCTCATGCAAACGAGGATCTGCATCACCCGGAGACCAGAATAGCTGCTCCTCACAGGCAGTCTTCTGGCATCTCCCACAACACTCCCCTTCTTGGACAACATATTTGTAACCCTATAGGAGAAAAACAAAAGGATTGGCTGATCCAGGAATAGGAGACAAATTAGAAGATTAATCCTAAAAGAAAACAGTGGGATAAATGTTTAATGTTAGCAACTTTTTATGGAAAGGGGAGTTTGAAAACAGAACTGTAAGGCCAGGCACCGCTATTACAAAATAAACAAGTGCTCCACCCAGCTCAGCATCCTGTTAAATGGTTAACATTACGTGTCAGAAAAAATAAATTAAAAATTACATATTAGGAGCTGAAATTCTTCCTGCTTAATATATATTTTGAAGACATATTGACTTCAGCTACATGGACTAACTCTAGGTGCTATCCTTGCTACTACCCTTGCTCAGGTCATGCCAATCAACTAATGGGCCTTGTGAGGATACCCACTTCTCTAGTGTGGTATGGAGCACCCCTTCTTGGAGTACAGAAAATGTTGATGGTGCTTAGCATTAATAAATAAATAAATAAATCTGAAATTGCCTCGGAAACATCTTCCTTTTACTAGGATCTGCTCAAATATGTAATAGCACAAAGATTTGCCACAAAACAGAAAAGAACAATGACATAAACAGGTAGAAATGGAAAGGGAAGAGGTAAAAGAAAAATGCTTTCAGAGGACCCTGAGCTATTTCAGCATCAAGCAGTCATTTCCAAATGTTAGTTTATTGTATGTGAGCAGTTACTTTTACGCATTAGCCAATTGTAAAGAGCAAGTCTTTCCAATCATATGGCCCAACAGAGAAGTGTAAAAAAGTAAAAGAAGTAAGTCCACTTCTAAGGATGATTGTCAGAATTGCCATGCTCTTTGGTAGATTTTGAGAGAAAACTATATGTGAATGTTAAGAATCCAGTTTAAAAAAAAATCCCCACATTAAATCACCTCTCTTCTTACATATGAGTCACATATGAGAATTTTTATTTTGTATTTTGAAAATGTTTTTTATGTATAATACTATGTTACAAAAGAAAATGGAAGGCAAAAATTATTCTAACAGCATGTTAATCAGCATTCTTGGATGTTAATCAGCATTCACAACTCCCCTTCCCACCCCTAGGAATTCAAGGTTAGGATTCAGTCTGAGCACATTCAGACATCTGACTGCCCTGTGCTGAAGGAGAGTGAAGGAGTTGGTCAGACATGTAGTCTAGGGACCAGTTTTGACTGATCATTTCATCTTTTCATCTCCTGAAGCAACCAGCCAAATATTCAAGCATTGGAGTATCTAAGTGCAAGAAAGCTTTAATCTAATTAGAAATAATATATTCTACATTTAATAGCTAGGCAGTCTCCAAGGGGCAAAACATAACTCTTGATTTCAATAGAGTTGAAGGAAAGATATTCTGTCAAAGAAAATATTGTTCCTATGAAAAATGTCAATGAAAATAAGCATAATTTTATTTTGGTCAACCCCTTCAAACTGAATTGCTGAAGTATTCCAAATCACTCCCTCCCTTCAAGAACTGTCCTTGATTTGCAATATGAAGCACATTAGCAAACCTCAATAATCAGCAGACTTTCATTTGGAAGTGCATTTTTTATAATGTCATAAAATGTAATATCAGAGTTTGACCTAGCTTTGTGGAAAAAGTTGTGCTGTTGAGCATTTTGTTTTATATGACTTTTACCTGCTAAATACATCTGAAGCATCTGAAGTATTGGATACAACTTTCTATTTCTATGGCAAACTCAGAGAAGTAAAAATCCATGAGCTGTTTGTGCCCAGAATAAAGCAAAATACAGATGCAGGACCCAAATTTCACTAAGTTGGTTTGAACGGAGCCCTCTAAAGTGAAAACAAAAACATGCTACACAGTAGACTGCAGGGGTGATTTGCATCCCTAAGGCACTGACAATGTTGGTTTGGGACAGTTCAGCTTGCCTGAATGGCCCTTTTGGTGTTCACTGTGTTCAAAATCTGGGGGCTCTGATTCCTAAGGGAAGGAAACACGGGAGATCACAACTACCAAGCTCAGTGCCTGCTGAGCATCTCCTAACACAGCCCTCAAGCCACCATAAACTACAAAACTGTCTCAGAAGACAAACCTGCAGTCTGCAGAAGTCTACAAGCTCCTCAACGAGCAAAGCATCCAAGAGTACAGCGGACAGTGTTCCCTGCTGTCGCAGATCCTCCACAGCATGAGAAATATTTCACCATCAGAAAACTCCACTTTTGTACCTCATACCATGGAAACTGGGGCCCACGGGAATAAAGAAAGCTTTATTTTATGTTTAATTCAAAAAGTGGAAATGTTTACAGTTAGATCTACGAAAAGGAAAATGTATTGTGCATTTGAGGTATTTTTTTATTGTTGGGTTGTTGAGTTTTTTTTCCAGTTAGATGACTTACGTACAAAGAGTATATGCTACCAGGATTATTCCTGAGCTGCACAGTCTATGAACATGAATGTCTGACAAGTCTCAGATACTGTGCAGTTGAAGGTTAATGTTAGACTGAACTACGCAGAGTAATCCATATCCATCTCTTCCTTCACTATTTTTCATTTCCTAACATATAGACAGTAGCACACAGAGATGCCAGTGCTCGCTATGGTTTGTTCAAGGACCACTTATAGTCAATATTGTGCTTATACCCTGCTTTTTCTGGACTGAATCTGTTCCTTTATTCCTCCTCTGTATCTTGGGGTTTTTTTTGCTTTTTTTTTCCTTTTAAACACAGAGTTCAAACTTCAAACAAGGAATTAAAATTCAGAAGAAGCCCTTGGTAAGTGTCTGACCATCCGTCACACTGAGAGGCAGATCACAGTCTACAGGACTGAAAAAAAAACCCCGTGCCCCAGGAGGTAAGGGATAAGGCAACACAAGGCACCCCTCGCATTTGAACAGGTGCACGTGGCTGACTTGGGAGTGAAAACCAGCAGCTGTGATGAAGAACCTGACAAGTGCTCAGTTATGCTGCCAGATCAGGCTGTTTTATCAAACACAAATGCGGAGATAAAGCTGGTCTCCTGCATGGAGGGTGACAGCATACGGATTAAGACATTCTACATGGGGGGGGGGACACACACACGGACACACGACGACGACAGGGCATGAATTTTGCGTTCTTTTGAACTGGAGCTTGGCTTGTGACAAACAAAAGAGGAATGCAGATTAATTCTGTAGCATTCAGAGCATGCACATTTTGGTCTCATCACCTACTCAAGGCTACTGAAGGGATCCACACAGGCTATGGCTTGGAATATTTATGCACTTCCTCCTTCATTCTTGTGTTGCTCAGGATACACAGCTCATCTTTTCACGGGTGCTAAGGTTTTGGCTAGAAAACAGTCTGCTGTCTTTTGGCCATCAAAGCAGGAAAGAAAGAACAGAATTTATTCCTCAACAGGCTTCAGTATTTGCCTTTTACATATTGAGATGATAGTACCTAGAGAGGGTTGGAGGAACCAAAGAGAATGAGAATGGCAACAGTAGACTGAGAAAAACCCAGTAGGATGGATATAAATCCACTTGAAATACTGAAAGCAAAATCTTCAGTGGCAATGAATCAGCACAATTCTAGAGATTTCCCTGGAGCTGCACTCATTTACCCCAGGTGAGGATCTAATTCTCTGTTTGTAAGTCTCTGAAACACTAAGGTATCATTTCCTAATTTTCATAATAAATTATGCTTTAAAACAAGCAGGACTTTTGAAATTACCTCCCAACAAGACCTTTGCAGTTTTTAAATAAGATCCTGCACATCTAATATTCAAACAGTCTTCCTTTTACACTAGTTTCCCTGACCTCCTTAATATACACTATTAACCAATTTACTGCCATGCTTTACATGTCACTTCAAAGGAAAATAACCATTTGAAATATTGGAGATTAAAGCCATAGCTTTTGTAGTTAGCATCTGGTACAACCATCATTCACTGTGCCTTTGCACATAGGGTGTAAATATTCTTTATTTTAATTTAATTAATCAAAATGCTTGAAAATCTAAACTAATTTACACATACTTAACCAAATGGTTTTGTCTCAAAAACTTATCCCAGAAAATTATGTTTCATTCTTTTCATAATCATCTAATACTTTAAATTGTCCAATACTTTAAGCCACACTCTTTTATATCACTTACAAAGTACCTAACTCCAAGAACGTTGACAGAAATTAAGCAAAGCAAATGCTCCCTTCACATTAGTATACCAGTGATTTTAAAGTGTTTTGAAAGCCGTTATCCGTTTTATCACCATGATTTTCTGAAGGGATGTAACCCGATATACTCTCGGAAAAATGATTTCTGAAGCTCCAGGAGGGAGACACCACTCCTCCTTGTGGCACATGCAATAATTGCAGCAATTATCTGCTTGCTTTCTCAAAACTTTGCTAAGAGATAGAAGAGGACAGAAAAAGTGAGCAGACTATGACATACAACTAAGCAAATCCCAATCTGGTTTGCAAGTGAGAGGTCTGTATTTGCTGTTTTAACCTCCTCAGAGAACATTTGTTTAAATGAAACATCCGCTCTTTTTCCATAGCATTTCTTTACATTCTAAAACTGCAGATACGATTTGAGTTTGGTTTTGTCACGCTCAAGAGAACAGAACACCTTTCATTCATCAGGTGAGGGAGCTAGTACATGTGTTATTTTTTTTTCCCTTTTTTTGTGTAGCTAGATAAAAAACTGTAAGCTGTTTTCACAGAAGTTAGATGACACAGTCGACAATGATACTGCACAACATTAAGACCTGCCAATGGTATTAATAACCATGAGCACCAATGGAATTAATAACCATGAGCAGCAGACAGTTTGAACACCATCATAGTAATGATCCATGATTAAAGTATGTCTTTAATGACAATACAACTTTTGATGCCACCTAATCTGAGCTGAAAAATGAGCTTTAAGGCCCATTCAAACTCAATTACAGAACTTCTGCGGTCCTTGATATATATATCCACTGAATCAGGAATAAGCAAATGAAAAAAGAAAATCTGAGCTATCCAGGCTCTCCAACAGCTATAGTTTTGGTGGTACAACTTTGATAACCATTAAGGGAGCAGAAGAAATGGCAGATTCCCAAAAAGAACTGGCATGGTTTCCACCAAGGCAAATTTTTGTTTGTTTTAAAAAAAGCTTTTTTGATGCTGCAAGGCTTAAGGCTGATTTGTCAAGAAACTGTAGCTCTGCATTAACGATACTTTATTAGAATAACAATTTATTGATAAAGTTATGGCTATGAGCCAAAACACAGCCAGGTATTTTAGATCTAATATTTCATAATAATTGCCATACTAGAAACAAGTCACTTCTACAAACGGAAATCAAAAGGATTCTCTTGCAACAGCAGAAAGCTCTCACATCTACCCTCATGGTTTTCACTGCATTAGGCATTCTCAAGCTTTCTCACCAAACACTACACTTGCAGAAAGAGCACTGATTTGTCTGGTGTTGGGGTTTTTTTAATGGATTGGTATTTTTTGCTCTGGTCCTAGGGAATTACGCACTGTTTAAGACACAACAGAGGAAAAATATTATTCAAAAATTTAGCTTTTTTTCACACCTTCTCAAGTGCACATGCATCTATGCTGTCCAGCCTTGTTTTGAAATAGAGACTGTAAATTAAATGATATTGAAATATTGTGGTATTATCGCATTTGAAATTATTTGAAAACCAAGGCATAATTAGCTTAACAGAGTTCAGAAAATATAATTGCTTTTCAGATGTTGGTTTGCTTAACTGAAACGTTCATAGCCAAATTTCAGTGCATGAATAACTGTTTTAAAATACATATTAGTGTAAATTCAACTGAGAATTTTAAAAAGTCAGACAATGCAGGTTTCTACAACATTAACTCATATGCTGCACATACATACTCTATGGCCAAGGTCAGTGTTTGACTCCCAGACACATTAATAATGATGTCTTTTCGAAAGCAAGAAGAACACCTCTAACTTCTCATAGCTGTATGTACAAGGTTTACTAATGAAGAGCTTTCTTCCAAATGTAACTAAACAAAAGCAAGGAGGAAGAAGAGTTATCATGTGCTGATTTTTCTTGGCCTCTGTTCTGAAAGCAACTGTATAAATGCGACTCATTCCCAAAAAATGGGCAGACTTCTTAAAACCGCTTAAAAAGTTTAGGAAGAACAATGGGAAACAGGTTGCAAAGATATGGAGAATTGGCCGAGGAGGGGAACGTGCATGACATATTTATCTGGAGATTCATTGTGTTCCCAGCAAGAAGAGAAAAACCTACTCCTGAAGCAGAAAAAAGCAAAATAATCTTGTCTCACATGCAGCCCTAGAAAACCCAGAACTTCACAATAGCATCCCAGTCACTGCAGTGACTCAAACACAGAAGCAGCACCTGTCCCTCTTAGTTAAAGGGTTTTGCAGTTATTGCTGTAGCATGCCCTCCTTTGTGTTTCCCACTGACAAATTCCAGCTGGTCACCTGTAATGATTCCAGCTGGTCACCTATAATGATACCAAGGCAGTCTGTTGAGTCACAGGCCACATGCAGACTTTTATCAGCTACTGGACCACTGAAAGCACTGGTGTTACAACATACATTTGTAAACACCTACAGCTTGGCCAACTGTTTGAATTTTGTGGGGGCTAATACAATATACAGCCTAATGTAAACATTTAAAAAGCAACTTGGAGATTTGAACAGCATTAACTACCTCATCTTTGCTTCTGCACTGAGGAAAAAAAACAAATTAGCTTCTTCTTCACTTCACAGTTCAGGGAAGAACAAACCCATCAGGAAAATCCTGGGTCAGTAAAAGACCTGCAGAGAATATTCTGAATTCCAGACAGCCACATTTAGTTGTTTCACATGGACCCCGCACAGCAATCTGAACTTGCAGATTGTGAAAACACCAGACCATGGACTAAGGTGGAGCTGCTTCAAGTCAGACGTGCCTTTTCATGAATGGAATTGGCTAATACCATCAAGAACAATCTCGATTAATCCATGTACATACTGAAAAATTTACAAAGAGGCAAAATGTATTTGTGATAGCCTCTGATGTTCACAGCGCAACTTCTCTGTCCACATGGCACTTGGTAAGGGGTGTGCATTGTCAGCACTTGGCTGATCTGGGCAACCTCTCCTGCCATCTGTTTTCCTGCTGTCCTCACTGGCTGACCCATCCACACTAACCTCATGAAACAAGGACATAGGAATGCTCAGGGATTATGGGTACAAGGTGCTAGATACCAGAGCAAAATGCGACTCTAGAGTACCACATTTAGTTTTACAGTGACTTTTTACTTCTTTATTATCCATATAATGTTAAGGTGAGGAATGCTAGGTATGTAAATGGTGTAGTTGAAAGGAAGTATAAAAAATATTTTGAACTTTTATTTGCACAACTCATGTTGCGGTAAAAGTCTTCTAATCTATGACACTGGCAAGTGCTGCTGACTTTTAACCAATTCCTTTGACCTGCCTAGAATTCTTCTACCAAGATTTTGTACCAAGTATTTGTCTCCTCCTGCTTGACCAGCTATGTCAATATAACAAAGCAGCTCATACTCCCTTTGTGGGCTTCCAAAAGTAGACTACATAATTTTATAGCATGTAGCAGATGTCTGAGCATAACAAAGGCCATAGCATGAGGTGTTATTACTGCTATAATGAGCAGAGCTTAGCAATAGACAGAGCTGAAACGTTCTCTGTAGAAAGTGAACTTCAGCTAGAAAAGTCATTTGAAATAGAACTTCAGACATCATGAGCAGTCATTGTGCAAGTGGTGTAAATGACAGACACTTTAGGATGCAGTTTTCCTCTTACTGAAATACAAAATAAACTTCTCGCTGATTTCCTTGGCAGCAGGATATGATGCTAGAACAACAACTCTAAAATAAAGTCAGTAATGCCCAGGCCTTTTTAGACTCTGTTTCCAAGATAATTTGTTGCTACAACACTTATTTTCTCTTTTTCTCTGGTTTCTCTAAACACACAGGTTTAAATGTAATTATTTCATATCCCCATCATGGCTCTGCTGGCTAATGCAGCGATTTAAACGTTACTCACCCGAGTACAGAACGTGTCACATGCTTTGTCATGACACTCCATCATCTGAAGTCCTGTAATGTCATCCCTCATACCAGTGCAAGAGCATTCCCTGCAACCATCTTCCCAGGTTGTCCCAACAGGATAGACTATGTTGTTGTGCACACATACCTATTGAATGCAACAATTAATACATGAAAGAGCACACTGCTGCTGTAAGGGCACGCTCCTGCCTCTAAAAGGCTGTTTTTTAAAATATGACACCAACCATAAATTTTATGGAATATTTTGAACAAAGTAGAAATGCTACAGGTCTTAAAATTGTGGCCACTCTGTTGAGGAAAGGAAAGTGAGTGTAATCAAAGCTGCTGTTTTATAAAGAATAAATTGGAGAATTTTATCTGCAGTTGGTGGAACTGCCCAGGGTCTGACTCAGTTTCCCTGGAAGTATAATGTGACCCAATATTTAGAGATAATAAACAATGAGTCCTGTAGAAGGAGCCATACACAAAACTTCTTCCAGATGTATCAGCTGATCTGAAAAGATCCTACTTTGAGCTACAAGCATTCATTCTCTCGCATCCTTAGGCCATCACAACTACCACAAAAGTAGTGCCATCTCTTACATTGCACTTTTTATTAGAAACTTTTACAGCATGTTATTAAAGAGATGAACATAATTTCTTTTTATAGATATAGCAAGTAAGTCACAGAGACACAAAATGACTTATGCAAGGTCATGAACTACTTAGCAACAGAAAATAAAGGTCAGATCTCCTGAGCTGCAAGACATTGTAACCCTATGTTAAGCTGTTTATTAGGTAAGGTTCCTTCAATTGAAAAGGTTGCTCTGCAACCTCTCCTCTAAGCAACCTTATCTTAAAGGTTGACATACTATAACAACTTAATAAAAGTTTGGCAAAATAAGGAAAAATATGTCCTGGTAAAGCTTTAACAGAGTTGGGTATTAATTCGGCAAAAATTTAGAAGTGGCAATATAGTTCATACAAGATTCAACGCCTCCTCAGGCAGAGGCAAAAGTAATCAATGGGTACAAGGACTTTAGGTCTAAGGTGTCCCAAATATTTCAATAAAGTTAGTTTAGGATTTAAAGAATATATAGCAACTGTACTGATCCAAAAGCATGAGCCTCTGTTACCCAGAAACAAATCAAAAATTTAAAAATTACCTCTGAAATTCCTTATGTATAAATATATATATATATAAAACCTGATTATCATAAAAAATATGTTGGTTATGTCACAATAAATGACCCTAATAAAGCAAGCAACAGTGTGATGCAGATGTGTATTTTTCTCAGACACATATAAAATAAAAATGGCCTGGCATTGTTATCTGGTAGTCTCATTGGGGGTTTGTTAATACCTAGCTACCCATTTACTTTGGTGCTGTCACTCCATGTATAAAATATACTCTTATCTGTGGATATGACAATTCATTCCTCTTACCCTGCCTGGAACACAGGTGGTAGATATGCAGCCGCAGTCATTGGTGAGAGATCTGGATAGATATCCCAGTGGGCAGCTCACTGTTGAGTTCGTACAGCTGCAGGTACACTCATATTTATCACAGCACTCCGTCTTCTTAACAGTCAGCTCTCGATGGGGTGGGCAGAAAGGTCTTTGAACTAAGCTGCATGCTTCTCTGTTACATTCTAGCAGAAAAAGGTAAGTACCATGTCAAGCACAGGGCATTTCAGAGTGCTGCGAGTAATCAAGACAGTTCTCTGGTAGCAGGGCACTAATTGCTACTGCAAGCTGTTAAAAATCTGCTTAAAGACTAGGAAGTAAAGCAGATATAAAAGACCCAGGTCAAAGACTGCGCTGCAGGTTCAGGAATATTTCCTATCCTGCCAAAAAATTCTTGTCTCTCATACAGTCAAAAAGATCCATGAAATAAGCACAAGGGTCAGAGAACACATGTCCAAGGGTAAAGTGTTTCTCTTTTCTGTAATTCAGAAGTGTACTCAGAAAGTGCCAACAATACTCTTCTTCCAAGTCTGTGAAATCATTACATGGTTGGCTCCAAAATTAAATCTTTTAGAGGGAAAAATGTCTAAAGGAAGTTCTCGGTGTTGCTCAAATGCAACGTTCCAGTGTCACTCCCTGCTAAAAAAAATATCTTACCACATGTGTAGTTCGGTCTGCATTCTCCAGGGTTGGTCAGAGCAAGCTGCCGGCCAAGCTCGCAGACAGGGACAGGAGGCAAATCACAGGAAACCAGATCACAGACTAAGATGAGAAATTGAGAGAGCATTTAAGATCACACTAACTAATTAGACCTCCAGAAAAAAACAGGCATACGCATGCACGTCCCCATTAAACTCTTTCTCCCTACACTCAATTGTTATCCCAAAGTATCAAGTAAGTTAGAGTTCAGCATGTCAGAGTTTGTTTTCAAAATAGCTTAGGGAGCAGTTCAAGCTTGGGTTATGAGGATTAAGGTTCTAATGTTACATTTAATGTGCAAATATAGACCATTCTCATGTCGTTTAGATAAAAAAAAAATGCTCCATTCCCTTCCTCATCTCTTACAGAAAGAGGGACAAAGTCAGTTTGGAAGCGAATGGAGACTCACATCCTCAGGAGCTGTTTATTTCCACACAGATGATTGTACAGTCATTCAGCAGTTTTAAAAATGGAGCATTGCATTAAATTAAAAAAAAAAAAAAAAAAAAAAAGATTCTATGCCTTTGAAGCACCTGGCAAAAATATGGACCAAGAAGATTCCAACAGTTTATGAGAACCTACCACACTCGTACTCGGGGCAGCACTGGCCAGGGTCCCTGCGCAGACGAGGGACTTCACAGGGACCACAATGAATAGCTGGAGTAAGAAGAAAACATCCATAAAACAAGTTTGTATAAGAACTAGAAAACTAGGTAACAAAACCATCAAGTCCAATCGTACTTAAGAGCTAAACTAATTTACGTTTGTCAGTAGGGCAAGGTCGGACCGTGCAGTTTACTTTCTTGTTATCAAGACACGTGCAGATGTTGCAAGGCTCACTGGCAGGAATCCAAGTTTCCATGTGCTGCATGAAAATAATAAACCAAACAGATTGTTAGAAAGAAATCAAATATTCTGTTCACTGGCACATTAGCGATGGGAGTGGGTGAGGGTGAGTGACATTAATTTGGAAAACCAGAAGATTATGCAGAAGTGGTTGTTGCACTGTTAGCAGTAAGAACCTAAGAAGACACATAATTCTGAAATGACTGTAGTGTACCAATTTAGAAAAAGATGTGAAGAATGCATGAATGGGAATTACTATTGTTTTAAGCATGAAAAATGATCAGATGTTATAAATGCAAGTGCAGGCTATTGTGAGTAACAATGAACTTGTGCAATGACATACCATGATGGGATGTTCAGTGGTAATAAAGGAAACAACAATATTTTGGGAAATACATAGAAGTGGCTGCTAAGTAGTACTTAGACACAGAGAAATAAGCAGTGCGTATTTTTTATTAAGACTATGTGGGGTGTCACCCCTTGATTTCCCAGCGGACTGAAGACAGGAAAAGTACTATAGCAACCCCAAATCTGAAACCATCACTGTAATGATTACCTGGAGGGAATAAGCACATTCAGAAACTGCCAGTAAAGTGTATCATTATTCAACCACTGTTCCTTCTCATGAGAGAGAGGGAAATCATTGATGTTAAACATGTAGTTACCTATAAAGAACTATCCACATTTAACACCCCTGTGAATAGGGAGATAAGACTGAAAAGATGCATTATGGAACCACAATGTTAATTTGCACAACCTATCTATGTTCTGGTTGAGAACATGTAGAGTAGGTTAGAATTCCACAAAGGGAAAAGATGTCATCCAGAAAACTCTGGAGTGCAGTTTAAAAATAACGTTTTGCTGATAACTTTAGTAGTAAGAAGAAAGGAAGGAAATATCTAAGCATACTGTCACCTGTACCCAGAAATATCTATGTATTTTAAGCCATCACAGAGTTTGAAAAGATAGTTTACTTTCAAAGGTTATGGCAAGGATAAGACACCAGGTGCACTAGAACAAGCCAACCAGAGGTTTAACAAAGCTTAGGAACCAGATCACATAGGGTCAGTTAATCCATAGGAAATCTATTTTAGTCAAAGAAAGCTTCCATTGATGTATTGCTAGTAAAGAACATTATCTCAGGGCTTGGAAAAACAACTCAGAGCCCTCTGGCCAGAGCATTCAGTGGCCTCAGGGTTAAAAAGTCCTGAGAAGGTAGCTGATAGAGAATGCCTACATTTGCAGGTGGTGATGTGAAAAGCATGTGGACATTTCAAGACACAGACAAAGAGAATCACAACGTTTGCTCTAACATTTTCAGCAGCCTTGATTTTCACACAGGTTTTCTTCAGTGTAAGTAGGAGTCTCTTTCTAATACCAGAAGAAATGACAAGAGATAGCATAGTGTCAGTAGAGCTCTATATGGGCATTGGTACTGAGAATCCCGTGAGCCCAAGCACGAAGTGAGGTAGAAAGGAACAGAGGAATGAACACCAGAGGGAAAGAAGGGGGTTAAGGAAATCATAACCCACCACCAGTTGCGCTGCCTGTTGTATGGCTCACACAGCTAATCCTGCAATGGTGGAGATGCAAAACGGCTGTGTGAGCTGATCCTCCCCTGCCCTCCACCTCCCCATCCACACAGCAGCTGCATCTAAGCCTTGCCATTGGGGTACAGACGACATGTTTTCAGAGTTAAAACCCCATTAAGGGGCATGCGACAACTCATGAATTTCAGAACTTCTGCAGAAACAAGTAGATATCACTGCAGACGTTATTCCCAAGATGTGCACTAAGCTTTTCTCCATGAGGGCTTGAAACAATTATTTAAATGGAAAATGCGCTGCATTGCCTGAGGATTCAGGGATTTAAGGCACACAGATCCTAGACTTTAATCTTCATTTGCAATAACCATTTCATACAGAATCATAATACAATAACTAGAGTTGTCAGGGTCACTGAGAGTTGTGCACAAGTGATTCCTGTTTAGGGCAGTGATTATATACATTGTAAGCCATTTTTTTCCTTCAAAAGAAACAATAAGATTTTTTTGTATTCATTTTATTACAAAAATTACTGGGATTATTTCCCTACCATTTTGCCAGCTCTATAAGCACTACACAAACCCAATGATACTGTGTTTTAAACAAAGATCCAAAACAGAACACAAAGAAAAAATGATGGCCATATGCATAGAGATACTTTAACCGTAAAACAAAAGCTAGTACAAGGTCCATGTGCTCAACCCTTCAGAAAACTCTAACCTTTTTTTTTGAAAAACATTGTTTGGATAATGCAGTTGTGAATGAAAGAAAGCACCTTCCCTATGTCTTCCCTCTCACTGCCAGAATCTATAGGGTATGTACACCTGAGGAGGGGCCTTAACACTTTAAGGCTCCTGTACTGGCCCCTTGCCCCGCAGTAGGAAACCCTAAAAATCATATTTAGTGAATACATTTTCAGTGTGCTGTGCTTTGACAGTCCCAAGAGGTGCCACTAAGGTACAAGCAATGGAGAAGTGGGATCCTCGGACCCCCGTGGGCCTGTCCTGTGCGAGGCCAGGTTGCACAGACATGTGCGGGGCTCCTGGGTCAGACCTTCCACCACTACAGCAAAGCAGTGCCTGGAACACTTGCTTCACTAGGTCAAGTGCATTGCTTACTGGTACCCTACCACCTAAAGAAAGGTGTTCGCTCTGTTAAGTTTGACACTTTTGTCATTATGTTAATCAATGCAAACAGCAATTAAAAGAGACTCCACAAATAGTCTTGCCTTCCTTTCAGTTTAACTATAAACATTTATAACACAAATTATTGCTGAACTAAAGGTGAGTCAAAATTCCAATGTGTAAAATGAAGTTATTCAGACTACATATATTCATTTACTTTTAAAATCTATCTTTTTACTTAAAGAATACACTATACACACACAGAGAGACTTCTGTTACTTACAGAAGTTCTGTTACAAAAATGATTCTGTCTTTGACAGCAGGTTTGGTGAGTATGATAAAACCATCCAAAAATCTCATTAAGAATCTAAAGCCTATAAAAATCCCTTCTTCTTAAAGTCCCATAACAAAATTGCAGATTTAAGAGGACTGGCTGACTTAGGCGAAAACTCCCAGAGCTGAGTAGCTGGAGGTGAAGAGGAACAACCCCTGTTACTTAGAACAGGGGATGCAGGTAGGAGCTTGCACACCCGCTGTGCAATGTTGAAAGGGAAATCAACAGTCTTTTTCACTGCAGTCTGGCACCCAGCACCCATAGCTCTTCCCAATTCATTCTTAGCTGAGGAACAGAGATCCTGCTGAGGAACGTGGATTTTCAGTAAAACTGAAATGATGAATTTCATTGAGGAATAATTCCCATCAAGGAAAAGGCTGTAGGCTAACATGACTTGACAGAAGGTCGCCTTGGTGTCATTGCTCCCCACCAACCATTGAAAATATTTCAGTAAGCTTTGCAAAACAACACAATACATTTTAAGTAAGGGTTCCAGATTTATGATTAAATTGACATTGCTGGTAAAAGCCTGCTGAATGGAGGTGTTTCACTTGGTGAATGCTGACTTATGCCATCCCTCCTCTCTTCCCTCTAGCCCTCCCTCCACACAAATTTGTCATGCATTTCCGGGTCTGTACAGTCCCAGCTGTGAATTTTATATCCGTCCCAGCCAATTTCACACTAGGGGAGCTACATGGGGCTGACAGCCGGCTGGTTATGAGGAACTGAGCTAGAAAATAAAGTATCCAAAGGGGAAAATAGTTAGACTTATAAGACAGATTTACTTGCAAAAGCACAAACCCCAACCACTCACAAAGGTAAGCTGCTAAGCATATAGTTACCTGATGGTGTGTGCCATCTTCACTGACGCATTGTGTGCAGACTTCTTCATCAACACAGCTGTCATTAAAAATCACCTGTCTGTCTGGACAGAAGCAGCCTTCTGTGGGATAATCCTTGCAGACACTGAGTTTGGTACTATTCTCACAGTGCTTTATGCAGGCTTTGTGGCAGTGATCATATGTCAAATATGTGGGACATTTCATTGCTAAGGAAGACAGAAAAAAACTCTTTAGATAAAGAGATCTGAAATGCAGATAAATGTTTCCACTCACAGTTTTTTTATAATTATGTTCAGGTTTTTGAAAGACATCAGCTGATGAACTTATTTTCTCCTCTGCAGCCACTAACATCTTCGAAAATACATTTTTAAAACTAACAAAATCCACAGTGGAAAGTGATTGAAGGCAATCCTTACAATCCTTGCAAAATCATCAAGCCACATTTTCAGGCTACATGAATCAGAAAAGTAGGACTTACCCTAATAATCATACAATGGCTTACATGAGCTGAACATTTTGCCTACTAACTTTGTTTTTAACACTGGAAAGAGACATAAGAATTGAGAACCACCTTTACGTGCATTAGAGAGCACTGGTAACAGTGCATGGTTAGGAGATATCCAGGACAGATTAAAGGACTGAACAAAGGTTTTGTTTTGACAATTTGATAGGCAGCAGTGTTCCCGAGCAACTACATTAAGCTAACGAACAGAACAATTTGGTACTTCAAAACTGAACCTGCTGGATTTCTGCACCTTATTAACTGAATTGCTTATTAACAGAATTAACAGAATCAAGTAAAGTTGCGTTCCCCCTTAAGCCAACACATGAAATTTTTACCGATAGGTTCATAACACTGAAGTTATTGTCTCTAAAAGCAAACAAAAAGTAAGGCTATTCAAGAAACCTATGGACACAGCTTCCATACTGTGTACTCCCTTAAGTCTACTTTACTTTTCTCTACAGCTTCAATTAGGAAAAGTGTTTCTTATTTCCCAGTTTGTGACTGCTGTGAGGTTTATAAAACTTTTTTCAGTCCCCTGACAAAAAACACTGAAAGAAAATTACTGAAGACCTGAGCTCCCAACCAAACAAGCATTCATCAGATGAACTGTCTACACACACCCTTCTAGCAGCCAAAGGAAACAGAAAAGAAATGTCTTTAATGTTAACCCTTTCCTGTTTCAAGCCATGCTAAATCAAATTCTTTATGGTGTATAGGAGTTTGTGGTTGTACGTGTGCATAACCATCATAGTTCAGCAGATGTAGAGGAACTTGAAAAGCTACAGGAACTTGATGGGGAATCCAATCCCACCATTAAATGCTTTGGCTTCATTCTGAAAACACGAAAAGGTCTATCCAAGTAAAATAGGAGAAATGGCCTGCTTATAAACCTATACTAGCAGCTACCTAGACTATACTATGTTTTCCAGAAAAACTCATTTCCAGAAACAGTTCTGTAAACAAGGTCCCTACAGTAAGCACCAGTGCTTATTGCCTGTGACGGTCAAATGTCAGCTCTAATGAACATGCGAAAATACATTTACAGCACCTATTAAGGTAGTGCGTCATTTACTTTTTTATTCCAGTGTTAGTAAATATACTCAGCACACTGGCTTTCATCTTGCTTAGCTACCACTAGCCCTAAAGCAAATCTAGTAAACCTTACCTGCACAAAATTATATTAATTTATTTCAGAGTTTAATGCTGATGCCCATCAGTATAGAACTTGGACAGCTCTCAGGAAGAATGAGTACCAATGCTAAAGCCTCTAATGTACTTCATGTAACATAGCCCTTCTCCTTCCTCCTCTTTGGCTGGCATTAAGGAGCCAGGTGTGTGGAAAACTGCAATGAAGAACGGTGCCCCAGACTCGAGATATGCTATTGAAAAGCCTGTATGCCTGTGTAAAATGGCAATGTTTTTTCAAGGAAGGAAGAAATGAGGTGGTTATATTTTGCAAAAGAAATATAAATGAGCTCACATGAATGGCCTTGTTTTGAAGTCACCTCTGTCCTTGAGGGTATGGGAATGGGATGTGCATAACCAGCGATGGGATAAACTCCATCAAAGTCTGGAAAATCATCCTAACCATCCTTTCATCCTACTGGCACAAAAACAATCAGAAGACTGTAGAAAGCTACCTTAGACACATTACTGCACTTATGCTCCTGAGAGTTGGCCAGGTCCTACATGAATTACATTTAACTCTGCTTTTTGTATGGAAACTGCTGCCAGAGTCGTGGAAGGTGAGGAGGCATGAAGGATTTCCCTGTATTATGACCCTGTAATTGGCAATTTTATTTCTGGCAGTTGCACACATGAACCTGTTTGAAGAAAGAAGATGATGCTATTGTTAGGAGACTAACTAGTTGTTTTATGCAACTAGTGTTAAAATGGCAACTTTGTCTATCCTTGTACACACTGTGTAACAAGCTGGGAATTTGAAAACTGCAGAGTTAGTAAGGTACTCATTGGCATTGAGCCTTGGACATTACAATTTGCAAAGTCTGACTGAAGCACTAAATATGGAAAATGGCTGGTAATATTCTCCCTCTGTCTTCTAGGACTATACTCCAAACATGCTCTGATGTTTCTCAAAAGATTCAGTCTGCACCAGTAACATGTTCTTCAGTAACCTATCCTGAAAAGTCATTTAAGACAGCAACTGGAGGTTCAGGTCAAATTCGCCTTCAGTTTGATTAGCGTAGCTGCCATGTGCTGGCAAGAAAAGACACCACGGAGAGTGACTTTTTCCCCATTTTTCGCTGCAGTAGAAATTTAAAATCATACTGTGTCTTCCATGACAGTTTGAAAGGTTTGGGCTTTGGCTGGAATGTGGGGAATTTGCAAAACTATTACAGAGAAAAGTCTTATTTTGTGTCATTATGTGCAGCTATGACAGTGACAGGCTGGGAAGCAGTTCCACTAGTCCAAATTATGAGTTTCCCTGTCTGACCTGTACAGATCTTCCTATGTCTGTACTAAAGCAATGATATCTGCAGCTAAAATTGCCTGGCAGAATCAGAGCAGATTCTCAGTCCAAACCTGACCCCACAATGGTTTTGTGGCTCCAAAATCAGGTACTGTCACATAGCTGTGCTTACCTGTGCACAGCTTTCACAGTATTTTTATTTCATAGGTTATCCCTCTGGCCTTGCATAACTACCTTGTCTTTTACTAGCAGCTTACTAAGAAACACTTTTTCCATAATATGCAACTTAGTGGAAGACAAACCAGTTATCACATCTGCAATATGATTTGCATGGGAAACTTGATCTAGAACTTCTGCCCCCTTACACAGCATTCAAAAATTAATATTACACTGACAAGATGGTCGTTGTCACCACCATCACCAAGTAAGACAGTTTCACATCAGTTTTAACATACAGTAAACCCCTTACGACAAAACTCGGGTGTTCTCCAGTCTATGCAGATCCCGTTTTCCCTGCAGATGTGAGCGTAGGAAGTTATCATCTCGCAGGCTTCATCTTCATAGCAGCTGCTCTCTGCACAGGCCTCGTAGAATATATTGGGAGGGATTACCCTGTGGCACTCTGCAAACCGATCAGATAGTAGAAGGTGGCAGTGGCTCGTCGCATGCTCAGAGCATCTGTCTTCTCTCCGAATTTCACAGATCTTCCCTGGCTCGTCCACTGTCCAGTCTTTGATAAACACACTGCTGTCAGGAGTGACAGAGCCATCATGTAACATGAAGTCATTGACATGGTTCTGGTCACACACCCCTAGGAGAGTGAGTAAAAGGAAAAGAAAAAGCCTGAATACAGTCAGCAATAAAATAAACCTAGAGAAAACAGGCATGGGGTAGATGGAGCTGGTTGGGGCCGCTTGGTAAATGCCAAGACAAAGAGGAATGAATGATATTCCTTACAGCTATTATCAACAAGACATAAAAACCCTGGGTCTTGTTTCCCTTTTCCTTATTACAAGAGGTATAGACTGTGCTACAGAGATATAAGATATACAATAGATTACAGCATTGGGGATACCATAGAATTAATTCTCCTAGGTAGTAGTATCTCTCAAAAACCTTTGACCTTTACTGCAAGCATAGGTCATGTCTCTCATATAAATGTATTTGTAAGATACTAAAGTTAAATCCTCATTTAAAAAAAAAAAAAAATCTCCTTGAAATGTAACGTGAAATAAGGAAAACATGAGAGATGTCTAGCCTGTTCTTTCTAAGGTATTACTGGGAGTTAATCAGATGCTACATCAATGGCCATAGTAGAAAACCCTACATAGATTAGCAATGTGCCAACAGCAGGGAATCAGTTCAGCCAGAGAGTTTACAGGTTCAGGGCCACACAACTTAAAATAACATAAATAGCAGTTCAAGCCCAAGTAGGAAACTGTTAAAACTACTAGTTTTCAAACTTACCACAAAGCCCTTGTGTTCCTGAAGAAAAGCTCTTTGAATTAAGTTTAAGAATAAATTCATTGTTTCTTGGAGTAAATGTGAGATTATGTCCAAGATGGGAGAATTTGATTTCATGCATTATTGCTCCATAGACAGCAACTTCAAACAAATTGCTAGCATAGGGGATGTGAACCCTTTCACCATTAACAGCCACCTGTTTCCAAAAAGGCAAGATCATCACATCAGTTCTAGCAAGCAGTTAAAATCAACCCAATCTTAGAGTTGAAACACATTTTGTCTTCACAAGTACTTGAAGTTCCAACTGTATCTGGACATAAGAATCATCTGAAACTGAATACAAAGTGAATGATAAAGCTGAAACTTTCTGTTGAGTCTAAAACCGAGTTGAACTTCATTCTGTGTACTAGATGAACAACCCTTTCAACATTTTCCCATATGATTGCATTCCTTCAGCATCATGTATTTACAGACTAGCAATCTAACGCCGTGAAGTTAAAATGCTGCCTACAGACCCTGACTATCAATAAAACTCAGTGAAAGTCAGGGCTGTCCATCACCATGCAGAACTGGGTGCAGGTGTTTTGGTCCACCCTATTTTGCTACACGTGGCAGAAGAGATCACCTTTGCAGGCTAGCCAACTGCTGTATGTTTGAGGAGGTCCCTTCCAAACCCTAATATTCTGTGATTCTGTGAACCCAGAGATTGAAAAAGGTGTCATATTGAATTTGAATACTCCTCTGCCTATAAAATAGATGTAATGCATACTAACCTGGCCTTTCTTCTGATGCTGAGGTCCACCTGCACACAAGGTAAGAACCAACTCCCTAGCTCTTCAACTAGCCAGTCACACATAGATCTGTGAAGAATAGACTGCTCTCCCATGCACCAAATTATAACATTGTGTAAAGGACCTCTGCCAAAACAGGAGAATTAGAGTGCAGTAGGTCCTTTCTATAATCCCTACATTTCTGGCAAAAGTGTCAGTGAGATGTTGCCAAATCCCATGTTCTTGATATTGTCACATCAGCACAACAGGGAGAACAAGGGGAGAAATGTGTCTGGTTCATTATGTGAACATAGATTGTGTCATGAAATTGAAACAAGACATTTGCTCAGAAGCCTAAGTATAGTCTTCAAGGGGAACAGAAACTGGATAAAGGGAACAAATTTGTCCTCATAACCTGAATTCCATAGCATAACCAGACAATGCACAGATCATTTCATTGCGTTTAGCTTACTGCCATGTCACTGAAGAGCTGAACAGATGCACCGCGATGTTTCACTTCAATGGAGTCCATACAGTTCATCTTCGGTGTTGCTCTGCATGGTCCTTCATGGAGGAGAACTTCGACATCATGTAGCATGTCTCGAAACAAGGTGTAGGAGCAATTGCCAGTCAGCTTAAAATTCAGCCCATCAAAAGTGACAATATGTCGAGATGAACTTCCTATGCAGACACCTGCAAATCAATGAAAAAAAAAAAAAAAAAAGCCATACAGGCATTTGCTTTCGTTCAAATTAGACTATTTCTTCACAGTTGTTATGGGCATGTGGAACTAATTAATTGAGAAAGACAAGAAGGTAATGAATTGCAAATGCTGCAGCAAATCATTGACAAGAAAATTTGGTGAATACTTCATCACATTATTTTTTTGAAGTATCTTTGTCTGGAGCAATTAGTATTACAAAATATTTGAACAAATTCATAGAAAATGGCTTTGCATGAAATTTAGTCACATTGAATGTGATTTATTAATAAATTTTATATGAAAAAACAAAATCAGGGATTCCCTATTTGTAGAAAGGCTGTAACTTTTTTTTTTTTTAATTTTAGCATTGCATTTTTATTATGGTATTGCATTTTATTCTGTACCATATTACATTTGAAACAAAATAAGACTTTCATTCTTACCAAACACAAGTGACAAGTTGATACTAGGGGACATTTTTTTCTTTCAGATAGGAAACAGTAAAAGCACAGAGAAATAACATACACAGGATAAACCCATGGTTAACTGTCAGCTTAGTGTCCTGGTCATTAGGTCATAAAAATTTACTTGTCTTCACAAACTCGAAAACAAGGAGGATTAAAATCTCACAAGTACCAAAACAAAACCTGAGCAAAATGATCCTTCCAACTCATGCATTTTCAAATCTTTTGCTTAAAGATAATAAGGACAATAAAAGCAACGCCAGCTAAACATGTAGGAAGAAAATTCTTATTGTCAACAATTCAGCTACTTGGCTTCTAATTGATTAATTTCCCAGGAAAACAGCAACTTGTGCTTAAAAAAAAAAATAAAAGAAAGAAAGCCTATTTTGTGTATTGTCAGGCACAAACTGTCAAGAAAACACATCCCTTTGGAGCACTGAAGCATCTTCACTTATTGTACCTGCTTATAAAGTGCATGTATAAATAACAGTGAAACAAGTTAGCAATAAAACAACGTTTCTCAACCTTTTTTTATTCATGGACATCTAAAAAAATTCTAAGGGTAATAGGAATCCTTTTAAATTTCTCATAAGTATTCTGTAGCACAAAATGTATTAATGCAATTCATTTAAATGTAGTTCAGAAACACCCAATAGCCATGAATTACACATTGCAAATCAAATTACTATAAAATTTGTAACTAGTTCATCAAGCAAGCACCTTTATGGTGTAACTCCTGATCTAGTCTCTGAACTCAGTTACATAACACATGAAGAACACTTTTTCAAGTACTTCCTCTTGGCAAAAGCATTTGTCATGTCATCCACGCTGTCAAGCTATCACTCAAAACCATGCTTTAGCTCTCCAAATAACTGAATGCTACTTTGCTGAATCACGAGGGTCAATTAAGCATGCACTGTCATGCTCCTGCAGCTCAGATTGCCTAATCAGCCTCCATCCATAACAACAGAGAGATGCTGACGCACACTGACCTCCTACATTGCTATGCCCATCCCTAAAGTTTATTGATCACTGTGATTTTTGGCTCTGACTTCAGCACATACGGCAACAGAATTAAACTTCCCACCTGCTACTGGTGTTGCTTTAGTTGACACAGCATCGCCCTGGTTTTGCTACATAGTCATCGAAACAAGGGTTCTTTACCCACAAGGTTTTGATCAGCTGTGGGGCTGGGGATTTCCTACCCCTTCCTTCTATAACATATGAAAAATTACTACTTTTCCCTCACAAACTGTATCACCTTGGAAAAAAAAAAAAAAAAAACCAATATTTGGTATCATGGCTGGCTCATTAAATTCATAAAAAATTAGACAATTCTTAGCTCATGTTAAACAGCAGCAATCGCAAGTTAACTCAGGCCTTTTCATGATAATCAGCTAACAGTACAAATGGTAACTTTCATTTCATCCTTTCAGAAATTCTTTATGAAGACATGTTCTGAATGCCAAAGTAATGCCTTCGTGTTGCTATCAATACATTTAGGATCAAGAAAATTATTACAGATGCATTTTTTATTGGTAGATATCACTAAGAGTATCTTTTAAACCTTACAAAATATTTGTGATTATTCAACTAAAATCTTTCTACCTTCTTGAAATACTTATATCAAATCAGAAACGTTACCTTTAAAGGGTTTGGATAATCAAATGTGTTTTTAGAAAATGCTAAAAATTGGGGTATTAAAATTTTGGATGTCTAACAGTTCAAGGATCAAAATCTAGCTATCCAGTTCAGGTATTTCAAGCAGTGCCTTGAAGAAATTGTTCTTAAAATATCCAGATCAGCCGAGGACACTTTAAATTGAGATTATACATTAGAAAGAGAAGGTATATACAGGGTTCTGAGTTACTTTTAAAAAGTAATCATATGATTTTAGACGTAAGCCAAATTTTCAGAATTATGTTGAGGAGTACAGTCCTCTCAGTTTCATCACAGTCAAACAGATGCAGGCTCTGAACAGGATTTAAATGCTGTAACATCTACAGGTTCCTGTTCTGGAGATTTCTGCAAATTTTAGCTGTAATAGCATGCATGACTGGGCTGTAGAAATGCATTCTTTTGTCAAGCTACAACCTTTAAGAGTTACTGGAGCTGATCTTTTTGACATTTAAATCAAAATAAACATCTTGACTATTTTTTATGGAAATCAAGCATATGACTCTAGTGAGGAGATAAGGCTCAGTCCCCAAACTCAGGCTGAGGTGTACCAAAAGACCCAGTGACCTAACCAGTGAGCCTACCCCTCTTTCCACCACGAAGTGCTCTTCCCTGTGACAGCTGTGGAACAATGCCCTGTGCTGTGCTACATGCAGCCAGGCATCACTGCCTCCTTTACCCCAGACTGCCACTGTTTCTACTGTTGTCAGAGCATCTGTCTGGGCACTGAGGCAATCTAGAGGTTCCAGCTTGGTTTTTTTCTTAAAAATCATCATTCTTCCTCTCTCAAGTCTTCCCATCAAATATATGGGATTTTCCTAAACAATCTCTCCTTTTAATAAATGAATCACCAGCCTCAGGGCTGAATCCCTCTACCCTGTAAATGTGAGTGGGTGCACTTAATTTCTGTTCCTGTCATCTCAGCCAAGGCAATAATCACACAGTGTTCATCATTTCTGCTCAGATACTCAGTGTGAGATTTTATGAGGAGCATTTTTTGTTGTTTCTTTAATACATGCGCTTGGTTGAGTTCAGGCCAAACCCTCAAGCCTAAGATGAACCAAAAACACATCACTTGCTTACAGCTTGCAGAGATAAATTTCTGGTTTCTTCCACACATCCTCCTTCCCAGTTCACACAGATTTGGTAATCAAGTGTGAGATTCTCTGATAAAAAACTGTAGCTATACAAATGCAAAAAATAAGCTCACAGTGGCCTTGAACTTGCAAATAGCATCACACATTCCAGGCATCAGTGAGACTCTCATGCTCCTAGCTGTTTGTTTAACCAGTGTACAGTGTCAATTCCTCCCACCTCAGTCATCTTTGATGTGTACAACAACTGAGCAGCTCCATTCATCCCCATACATTTCTGATAAACATTCCAAGTGAAGGGGAGGGAGAGGCATACATGCAAAGATAGATACTCACATGGACACATCCATCGGCAGCCACAAGTTTCTTCAATCTTAACAGCAGGAAGATTGCTGTGACATACTGGTTTTGGCATCCTTTCACAGTTAATTTGGTGACTCTCCAGAACTGTGTAATCTCCTGGAAAGCATGTCACAGTGTGGCACTGGTCCGGTAACGTCCATTTATCACCAGGCTAGATAGGGAGACATGGATATTTACCAATTGAAAAGAACATGGGCATAGGGGAGAAAAATGCAAAACTTGGCTGCTGCCATTGGTTCTACAGCTAGCAAGTAAAGTGACACTGACAGCAGTGCTGCTCAAATTAGCCTTGGATAATTAAATAATAGAATGCAGTGTATTAAGGACTTCATGAGGAGAAAGTTTAAATTAGCAGCACTAAGAAATAGACTCTGAAATTCCAAGCAAAAGATAATAGTCTAGAACAAGAGATGTTTTGTTACAGCAGAATGAAGTATCTGGTACTCCATCTATTGTTAGCTTAGCCGTCCTGCAGCATGCATGGATAGCATAGTCAAGAAAGAATTCCCCTTAGCTCTTCTTTAAATGTCAAAGCCTTTATTTTTCATAAGCCATAAAATTATTTTAGAAAGAGCTCTGAGCA